ATTTCCTAGTATTTTTAGTTATTCTCTATTTTAAAGTAACTCATAACTTAATAGTGGTTGCTTGCAATTTTATTGGAAGTAAATTAGAGTTTGAAAATATAAAAATTTATGCCAGTATTTAATAAATAGTAAATGTAAGCATAAAAATATAACATTTTAAGTATTTTAAATTTTTATCTAACCCCGGCTATCAACCCCTGCTAAATCTAATAATTCAGCCAAGGTTGGGTTTGAAAAAAGTCTTATTTTTAGCCGGGGCCTCAGTCACTTACTAAATTAAGTAGCCTCCTTGTTTGTAGTGGCCTTCTCAGCCTTGAGAAGGTAAATCAACAACAACAACAACAAAAATTACTTTAAATGATTTATTTAAATTCAAGTTTTAAAATGTATACTAAGGTTCCCATGAGTTTTGAAACAACACAACAAATAGGAAATTATAAATTTTATATGCAAAATAAAGATATAAAAAGAACACTCAGTAACTTGCTTGTCTTTTATGTCACAGCTTTTAAATGTGAAAGTTCAATTCTTTGTTTGTGTATATAGACACTTCAGGCATCAGACATAAAACAAGGTACATCGTGTAAGGAGAAGTGTTCAATTACAATTGCATGTAAAAAACTAAATGGGCAGGGGAAAGTTGGGGGTTAAAATGAGCTAGAGCTGTTTAAAAACTGATTTAAATCGGGCCAAATTAGTTATCAACTTTTTAAATTTGCTTACAATTTTTTAGGTAGCCATTATGAATAAAATATGACATTCAAAAAATCAATGTCAAGGTTTTACTAAAGAAAGTCTGGAGTTGTATACAATAAGAGTGAATTTATTGTATAGAAACTTGAATGTTTTCTAGTATTTTGTTTCTAAAATATAGAGCTTTAAAGTATGAACAAAACATGTCTTTGCTACTAAAGTTTTTATTTTGGAAAAATCAGAAATTTCAAATGACCATACTTCATGAACCACAAAAGATTTTATGCTCAAATTTTTAGGGATTGAGGTGGTCCATGTTGGACTTTGATCCACTTAAACCACTTGGCTCAATGTTGGACTTTGGTCTACTTAGTCCACTTGGCCCTATGTTGGACTTTGGTCCACTTAGTCCACTTGGTATGAAATAACCCTATATTGACTTAATATTCTTTTTTTTTTAGAATTTTTATTTTGTTATTAATTTTTACTTTTTTATTAAGTTTTAATAATGATAACTTAATTTAAGAGTAAAATTATTTTAATAATATTGGTTTTACAAAATATTGTTATAAATTATAAATATTGTTTTGGTTAAATTTAAATTTATAAGCATTTAGTAAGAAGTATGGCGTTCGCAAGTGAAATCAGAAATTCTTCGTCTTTGCTAGTGAAATTAGAAATACTTCGCCTTTGCTAGTGAAATCAGAAATACTTTGCCTTTGCTAGTGAAATCAGAAATTCAACTTTGCGTGCCCTGTCATATAGTAGTCCTTGTTTTTTCCATAATAAACTTCTACATATAATTTTAGTTATCAATTTGCTAAAATGTTAAAGAAATTGCTAAAAAGCAACTGGGTTTTTAGTAACAACAAATGGGTATTTAGTAACAACAATTGGGTTTCCAGCAACAAGACTAGGTTTCTAGTAACAAAAAACCCATCTCAACAAAAACTACTATTTTAACCAAAGAAGTATAGAGAAACATAAACATCGTCAAAACAACAAAACAAAATGTTACTTGAAAAAATATTTAAAAAAAACATCAAAGTATATTTACAATTAGTAAATCAACATTCTACAAAAAATATTAATTGTAAACGTATTTAAATGTTTTCCCACCACTCCTATTCCATTTCATTATTTAAGGAGGTACTCTCCTTAGAAGGGAAATAAGAGAATTTTTTTCCCTCACCCTATGTGCCTATAGGATGTGGACACTATCTATTTGTTCTCTGATATGCTAAAAATTAATAAATCTAAAATCATAAAAAGCAGTTATGTAAGCAAATATGTAAACATTAAGAGAGTAAAGACATCACACTACAAATCAATTGTTGCTATAGTTACTGCTATTGTTACTGCTACTGTTGTTGCTATTATTGTTGCAGTAGTTGCAACAACTGCCCTGTAATTGCAAAAATGGCTATATTATATATTATAGTCTACATTGTTAAATTTAGAAGTACATAAAAAAGAAAAAAAATTAATTAACAAGCAAATTTGTATAGGATTGGTTTTCTAGTTGTGCAACCCTTGTCACTTAAGAGAAAGCAAAGTTCATTAGTATAGACTTATGATAGGATGTGAAACATAGAAAACCTGTATTGTGGATCTTGACCATTAGTATATTATTGAAAAATAAACTTGAGTCAATATAAAAGTTTAACAAATAATAAGTTATAAAAAATACAATAAATTGCTCAATATTAATTTTGGCATCACTAAATTTCTAACGACTTGATATTAAGTTGTTAGGTTTTTTTGTTTTTTTTTAATGTTATTCACCTCCTAAGTTGCAGAAAGCCACTAAAATTGATAAAGCTACTTTATTGAAGTGGACGTGGTGGGGATCAAACTTTAACTTTTTGCTTATGAAGCGAGCACTCTATCACTACACTACTACTTTGTCTTTTACAAAATAAAATTGATTCTTTGAATAATTTTTTTTGATTGCACTTTTCTTCTCTATTTTTAATTTAATTGAAGTTCATAAAACTTAGAAAACCCAATCTTGACATCAAAATAAATTTTAATGAACTCTAAATAAAGTTCTTTTATATTAGCTAATAGAAATCTTTTTTGAAAATGTCTTTTACCATCAGCTTAGATTGAGGCATACTGTTTCATGGTAAAATTTATAAACTTGATTTTTTACTTTTTTCACTAATAGACCTTCCTTCTTTTTTAGATGGTTCTGCCATTAAGCCACGAATTTGTTTTATATACCTTGCAGCTTTTATCATTCTTAGGGAAGTAGAAAATTGTTTTGTGTGATTTATGTTCCAACTCTCACAAACCAAAGTCAGTAATTTAAGTTTTTCTGATTTTGAAGAAACATCAAACTTTGCTTTAATTAATTCCATTAATGAGTCCAAGTCTTGTTTACTTACCCAACACAGCTCTTTTGTTTTTGGTTCATTATTTTGCATAGCTGACTCTGTCTTTATCAGCTACTAATTTTAGAGTTGAACAACCATATTATTAATACCTTTATTAACTTATTAATGCTTGATAAAAGATTTCTCTTAAAATGTAAATCTCATTAAAATCATAATCTTTATGTTGACATGAATCGCTCCCATAATCTTTGTTGTTATTTTTGGTATAAAACATTTTTCAATATTTTTTACAAAGTTTATGACCAAGTATTAAATCAAACTTATCACAACATCAATTACTCTAAAAAGAAACAAAATAATAATACATTAAATAAGTCTAATTATTATTAAAACTTTTTAATTTAACTTTGTGTTTGTTAAATGGATCGCAACAAAAGCTTCTGTCATACGAAGTCTCAACTCTATCCAAGTTTTTTCATGGTGGTTAGAAATAGTTTTCATGGTGAAATAGTTTTCATGGTGGTTAGAAATAGTTTTCATGGTGGTTAGAAATAGTTTTCATGGTGGTTAGAAATAGTTTTCATGGTGGTTTTCATGGTTTTAACTTTTTGTAGTAATATAATAATAATTTTTTTATTGGATTTTTTTTCTTTATTTTTAACTTAATATGAAGTAATTGAAGAAAAATTACTGTAACTATTTGGTGAACAAATAAAGAGCTTGTAAGACATTACTGATAAAATAATATCATAAATAGAGCAATAATATAATTAATGGTTACTAAAATGAAATAAAACCTAATATCAAATAAATTGTGATATTAAGTGACTAACAAAAAGGTTTTTTATCTCCACATCATAACCTTTGCATGAAACATCATTACTAATACTTAATCATACTTATATCATGCGTCATCATACTTAATCATACATAATCATACTTAAATAATATCATTAGTGTTATACTTTAATTGAAAGTTGCTGGGGCTTCAAAACATCAATTAACTAGTTTTTTTAAGTTAAGTAAAAATTTATAAACAAGTTTCTATTGAAATTTTGTTTTACAATTTACTTTTTTAATGAAATTTTAGCTCCTACCGAATTTCTAAAATGTACTGAAACTAAATTTTTGATTTAAAAAATTCTATAAAAACTGTAACCAAGTATTTTTAATAATCAAATACAAAGAAGATATGTCAAGAAAGTTGTGTTTTTTTGTTTTGTTTTTGTGTCCTCTACTTTTTAATGTGCAAGTTATTTTTACACAAAATATGCATCTTATGTTTTATGACTTTTAAGTTAGTAAGGGCTCTTTTAAGTTAGTGTTATATTTTGTGGTCAGTGACCACAATTATTGTTATGGTCAGAAAAAATATCTAGGGTCAGTGTTATACCTTTTTATATCAGTTAAAACTTAAATTAACAATTGGTTTTAATTTATAAGTTTTTTTTGTTATTTGTTAAGCAAAATTTTATATTGCGATGATTTTAATTGTTTTTCTTTGTACCAAATTGAGGTGGTTTTCTACATTTTAGTAACATTTTAACCATTGGTAACCAGAAATATATGTTATGATGACTTCTTTGTATATTAAATTTGCGCTTTCAATATTTACTTAAAATTTGTTTTGATTCAATGATAGAGTTGGAAATGATGGGTAGAATTCTATTAAATGAAAGTTTAAACTGATATTGGGATTAGCGTTAAAAACATTTATACTACAAGTTTTTGCAAAAAGTAATTTTTTATTATTTTTTCAATGTGGCTACCATAGATCAATTTTTAATTTCAATGTGTTTACAAATATGAGCAGGTTAAATCATTTCCCAAACTAGGAAACTTTGTCAATGAAATGAAACATAAAAAAATAATATATTTTATTATATTTATATTAATTTTTATATATTTTAACACTTATTTTTTTAATAACATTAAATTTAACTTTGCTTATTGTTATTTTTTAATCAGATATAGTTCTCAATCAGGAAGACATGCAGATGAAACACCAAGATTTACACCAACTCATAAGTACAATAGTTGGGCAGATGATAGGAAACCTGGAAGCTCAATCCGTGATCAAAGGAGTCCTGGTATTACTTTTTTCCCTCAAATGTTGACTAAAATCAATTGATAAAAATAGTCTTAATGCTATACTCAATCAATTTATTTTAGCCATTGTTTCATGACTATAAACAATGTCTAAAATAAATTGATTGAGTATAGCATTGAGACTATTTGGCCGACATGCAAATCAAAATTAAAAAAAAAATAGTTAAAGGTATTTTTGATTGTTAACAGGTTCTAAGGGTAAACATTATTACCATATTTGCATTAACAGATACTTTGGTATGTTTTCTTTTAAACATCCTTCCATGATTGATGTAAAAATCTTAGAGTAAATGTAAACTGATGAACTGTGTAACAAAGTAAAAATAATAGGTTTATTGTAAAATAAACAACATACAAGTTATATATAATATACAAATTAAAAATTACAATACATTATATACAAAATTACAATAATTAAACAAACAAGGTTGTTTACAATAATGTTAGTATACATTATTTCCTGATATAATCCACCATCATTTTTTTATTTTCCACCACATTTGCCATCATTTTGCATTATGGTAGCACGTTTATTGTACTATTTTTATTACTGCATTTTTGTTGTACTTTTTATTGTTCTTGGCCCAAAAGTTAATTTGACAAAAGTTAATTAGACAAAAGTTAATTGGACAAAAGTTAATTAGACAGAAGTTAATTAGACAAAAGTTAATTAGACAAAAGTTAATTAGACAAAAGTTAATTAGACAAAAATTAATTAGACAAATTTAAATTTATAAGATCTTCTCTTATTCTTCTACGCCTTTTACGTAAGATGTTATTGAGAAAACGTAAGTTGTAATTAAGAAACATAAGATGTAATTTAGAAAACGAAAATTGTAATTAAGAATCGTAACATGTAATTGAGAAAATGTAAGTTGTAATTAAGAAATAGAAAGATGTAATTGAGAACACGAAAATTTTAATTTAGATATTGCTTTAAAGGAGTAAGTGTAAAATGGCGCGTAAAAAAATGGCGCGTAAAAAAATGGAGCGTATAAAATGACGCACTTAAAAATGACACAAGATTTGTAGCGTAAATTTAATTTTTTAGGGAAAAATTTAGGGAAAAATTTATAATTTTTGGGCAAATGAATTTAACATAATAAACACTAAAAACATTTTAGGGAAAAACTTATAATTCAATTAAAAATTATAATTAAAAATTATATAATTAAAAATCACTTCATTGATCATTTAAGCACCAACTTGTACGTCTTCCATATTTAAAATAGTTGCATAGTGTGTGGTTGTGTGTTGTACCGCACGTGCACAATCTCCTCCCATTATAGTACTTTTCGCCTCAATTACAATTCGTTCTGAGTACTGCATGCGCTGTTCCGCAATCCTGTCACCTAATACAGGTGGAATGCGAATTGCATTTTTAACGTTACTTTTAATTTTGGACCAGATCGTTTCCACCGGGTTCAACATTGGACTGTAAGGTCCCAAACGTAACAACTGAGCTGGTGAATTATCAAACACCCTTTGCAAACGAGCGTGACAAGAAGCATTATCTGTTACGACGACCAAATCCTCCAAACGATTCCCGGATGTAACCCACTGGTGAAACATAGCCAACATCCACTCGTTACAGGAATCTGCTTTAAATGATCCCCTGCGAGTTTCTATCATGACGACATTTGTAGTTGAAATAGCTGCGATCAAGTGTATGTTTAAACCTTTTGAAGCAGGTACTTTTATAATTGCTCTTTTTCCTTGTCTCGCGCGTCCTTGCGTTTTTCTACAAAAAAGGTTAAAATTTGTTTCATCCAACCAAACTATCTGACGACCATTTGTGATATGTTCGTTGATGTTTCTAACATATTCAGCTCTTTTTTGTTTTTTTTCATAACTGTTCATTGTAGAAGGCTCCTTGTGCACTTTTTTTAATGAGAACAATCTGCCTTCGAGGTAATTTGCTATTGTTGTTGTGCTAATGTTTATGTTAAATTGTCTTAATATCTTTGTTTTGATGGCCACCAATGTTAATTGACAATCATTTTCAATCCATGTTAATGTTTCTTCGATTTGATCTTCGGTCAACTTTTTCGGTTTAAAACCTCCTTTTCCGATGAAATTTGAATTTCCGCTGCAAACCCAATTGTATGCTGTCTTATATTTAATACCTAGCGTTTGCGCGAGATTCACCCAATCTTCAAATCGCTCCGCACATTCAACAACTCTTCTCCTGTCATTTGGAGAAGATAAAACGTAACGTTTCCTTTCAACTTGTTCAGTTACACACATTTCATGCCGACAAATCGGACAACTTGAATCTGGTTGTTCCAGAACTGGACATAAACAAATTTGGTGACATAAATGTTGACACGGATTTAGCTTAATCACAGACTTTCGGGTCATAGTGTATTGGCATATAACACAACGATCTTTCAATTCCATTATTATTACTTGTGCATACAAAAGCAAAATTTAAGATTATAACTTAAATTCATGTCCAAAAAGACCTTTTGTAACAACCTACAAACTTAGACTGTGAATTTGCTATTTTAATTTATGTGTTCTCAATTACAAGTTACGATTTCTCAATTACATATTATGATTTCTCAATTATATCTTACGTTTTCTCAACTACATGTTGTGTTTCTTAATTACATGTTACGACTTCTTATTTACATGTTGTGTTTCTCAATTACATATAACGTTTTCTCAATTACATGTTGTGTTTCTTAATTACATATTACGACTTCTTAATTACAACTTTCATGTTCTCATTTACATCTTGAAAAGGTGTAGATTTTTTTACAATTATCCTTTAGTTAGGTTTTATAAATTTTCTACAATTATTTTTTAGTGAGGTTGTCAGTTGTGTGGCTGAACTTCTAAGTTTATGATAGCTCTTCATTCAAACTCACTTTTGACATATTTGTACCACAATGCCATATATTATAAAACAGAGTAAAAGTTTTTACCACCTTATTATTTAAATAAATTGTTCACCAATATTGGTGGCCTCCAAAATAACTTTTTTTCCTGTTGAGTCAGACAATTAGTTTTAAGTTCTGACTATGGGTTTGAAACTTTTTCCTATAATTGTATGTTTCTGATAAATTTATGAAATAAGTAATAAAATGAGAGGCTAAAAAAGTTAATGAAAATTTTTTTTTCTAAAGAATCACAACTGAATGTGAATGGGATTAAGTTCAGATTAACTTTTGTGAATGAGATTAAGTTCAGATTAACTTTTATACTTTTTTTTAAATTCAGATTAACTTTTATACTTTTTTAAAATTCAGATTAACTTTTAAATTTTTTTAAAATGGCAGTTCTAAAATCAGACTTTTCCCAGCTCAAATTAAAATGATTGAAATTTTCTGAAAAAATTGGTATTTACTTTTTATGAGTTTCACTGTTAAAATTGCACCAAGTTAATGCCTATTGTCTTTACTACTTCTAAAGTGTTTGGATATAAAGCAACCTTAGACTGCATCAAACTATCTTCGGTCTCCCTAAATATGATAAAAAAATAATATAATTATTATGTAAAAAAAAAAAATGCAGCCTTTAAAATATCTTTGTTTACAATAAAAAGAGTTCAATTTTACTGATTTTATTTGAATACACATTTGATTTTATTACCAGGCACTAATAGTGGTAAATGATAATGAATTATAAATTTAATGCAGTTTAATTGGATTTTTTTGTTGTATTATTTTGTATGTTTTATTATATATTTTTTTATTTTTATGTTGTGAAATGAAATTATTATTTTTTAGCTATTTAAAAATCAGATAACAAAAATTAATCTGATAAAAAATTAAACTCTCTATATGATCATATTTGATTCTTTAGAAAAAAATGCTGATGGATTCGAGGAGTGGGAAAATGAGCAAAAAGATTTAGATCGAGCATGGTATGACATGGATTCTGGGTATGATGCAAAACAGAATCCTTTTGCAAATGTTTCTGAAGAATATATTAAGAAAAAAGAAGAGTTGTTAAAAAAGCAACATCAGAAAAAGCGGTCTGCAAGAGCAAGGCAAGTTCAAAAGGTGCAATTGAATAAAATGTGCATATGTTTTAAAATTTATTTATTGTTTCTTTTTTTGGCGATGAAAATTTTTGTTAAGTATTTAATCATAATCATTGCTTTTATACAGCGTTTTTGGAGCAATTGCTCAGTTTTACGTGAATAAACATTTTAGCAAAATTGTTCAAATTTTTATTTTATCATAGTTGTAAGTAACAGTTAATAAAGCAATTGCTTTTACTCAGCGTTTTTGGATTAATTGCTCAGCTTTACGTAAATAAAAGTTTGAGCAAAATAGCTAAATATTTTGTTCTCGTAAAGCTGAGCAGTTACACCAAAAATGTAGAGTAAAAGTAATTGCTTTTTTTATTTACCCAGTCTAGTGTTTCATTAAAACTTATTTCAAAACAAATAACATCACTTTTTTTAACAGCAATATATTTTTTAGTTTTTGAAAGTATTATTGATATTTTTATTATTATTATTATTATTATTATTATTATTATTATTGTTATTATTATTATTATTATTAATATTATTATTAATATTACTATTATTAGAGAACTGATACGCCTATTTGACATCAATGGGCTTTTTCTTTTAAGGATTTTATATGAAATGTTTCAAATATCCTATTTTTAAATACTCAAATAAATACAATGATAAGATATATTGACCTTCTTTTTTTTAATATAATATTGTGCTATAAGAAGAAGATGTAAGCGCTAATAATTGAGCAATTAACTTAAGTAATGCAAAAAGTCTCATGGTATTCACGTAATATAACAAAAGTTACAACAGTAATTTATTAATTTATTGAAGTGTTAGAAACTAGATTGCTATTGCTACACCCCCCTGCTCAAGGAATTGTTAACATAAATTTGAATAAGTCTTTAATCTACAAATTCTACATTCAATTTATTGTTGATATGCTCTGAGTCTATTGTTGATATGCTCTGAACCTATTGTTGATATGCTCTGAGGCACATTCTATTGAGTAAATCTTATTTAGCGGTTTGTTAATCCCTAGATGTTTGTTATTGTAAATATAACTTAATGTAGCGTTTCTTAATTTCTTGTCTTTTGATTTATAAATGTCTTTAACAATATCTAATTTCCACAGTAAACAGGATTTACTCAAACGATATATCACCAACTTGAATTAGAGATGAACTATTACTCTTAAAACCTTTTCATGCATGGTCTTTAAATACTTGTCCTTCCATCTCAATCTGAATGATTAGGTGTTAAATACTTGTCCTTCTCAATCTAAATTAATAGGTGTTCACCTTCCATGTCTCCAAGCTCCTCATAAATTGAGGTCAACGGTCAGTTATTCACAAGACTATTTACTTTGAGAAGCATGGTTAATAACTCTTTATAGGTTAATTTTGACCTAATATTTTCTTTAAATATTGTTTTGTAGACCCTACCAGTCTTCAAATACGCTACCCCACCATGAAAATAATTTGGGTGGCAGTACCCTCTCCCCCTGTTGTAAAGAAATTTTGTGGGAACATTGTCTAGGCATTTTTTTGCAAAAAATAAAAACAATACTTGCTGTATAAAACATAAATGGTAAAAAAGGTCAATTTATGAATTTGGGTGGCGCCCAAATGTAGCCCAAATACAATCAACACTGTTGAAAAGGTTCTAGGATTACCCTCTTTGTTTAACAATATAGTTAATAATAACTTAGAATTGAGTTCAAGACAAAATATTCTTGATTTGCTTACAGAAGCACCCCTAGATTTAGAAGGTGTAAAGGTAGAAAATGAATTATTCTCATTAATGAAACGAAGGTAAACACAACACCCACATTTTTATAACTTTATTACAAAATTGTAACAAAGTTATAAAAAGTGATGTATTACAGACTAGACATTGACCTGAATTTTAAAAGTTTAATTTTGAAGCAACTGACCATGACTAATTGCATTGTCAAAGTATTGCCAGTAAAAATCTGCACCTACCATAATATCAATATTGACAGGACTATTTACTGCAACATTTGCTAATGATAAACCCTTTAAATGACTAAATTTTTTGAATGCTAAATCAATACTTTTGATAAAACAAAACAATCGTTTATTCCTATAACTGTAACTTAAACCCTTTCTAATACCTCTGATTTCCAAATGTATCAATAATAATTTTCATGTCCAATGTTTTTAAATTAAGCTTTCTTTGCAATGATGGTGAGATTTAGCAATTATATTGAGATGTAGATGTTAACTGCTATAAAATATAATATATGCTAGATACATGCAGAGTATATGTAGGATTTTCACAGTTTCATTGTTTGTATAAAACTGAATCTGAAACAAATTTTTATAAATAAGTGGTTAAAAAGTTATCATACACGATGATTGTATTTTTTCTATTATCAATATATTTCCATTCTTTCTCTCACAAAAAATTTTAAAATTTTGAAATAGTTCCCTCATTCAGCTGTCTTTTTATTACATTTTTTATTTTGTTTGCTTTTTCATTGCTTAAAATGTTAAATAGGGTGGTGTTTTTACCCCTTTTTCCAATTTTTTAGTAAATTTTGATAGTAAAAAAACAATCTTTAAATTTGACCATCAATTTTTACATATAACTGTACAACTGTAGTTTTTTTTAATTAAAATAGTTTTTATTTTTTCAATAATTGTTATTTTTTATTAGTTTTAAATAAAAACTTTTTGTCTAAACAATTTTGTTTGGTATCCTTTTAAATTTTTGATAAATTGAGTATTTCACTTTTAAATTAATAAAAACAAACTTTTATTTTATTTTTTTCTTAAGTAACTTTTGCTCATTCCAGTAACACACAGAAAAATGTCAGATGTCTGGAAACTTGAAAAAGATTAATCTGAAAGTGTCTGCAGGATATTCATAAAAAAATCTCAGTTCACATAATTTATCACAGGAATATGGTATCACCTTAATTAAAGACATGGAATAAAAAGAACAAATAAGGTGCAAAAATCTCTTCAATAAAAGCACCACCAAAATTTTTATCTTTTTTGTACAAGGATTTAATTAGATAAGTTCTCTCAAAACTGGAAGCTCTGAGTGGATTTATTTTAACACCTTTTATATTTATCTGGTCACCGCATTTATCTGGTCAGCAAATGCTGAAAAATGTTACAAAACATCAGCACAACAGCAGGAGTACAACAGCTGAATCACTTTGCAGAAAAAATGCCACCATTTAAATGTAAATCAATTTATTTAGGAATATGAAAGCAATTTAGTGTGTTTTTTGAAATCCCTACTGCAAATAAAGATTGATTGGATTTTTTTTTTTTTTTTATTTTTTTTTTTTTTAAGTTGATTAAATTTTAAGTTGCTTTGTAAAAATCCATGTTTTCATAGTTTTTACCACAAAAACTCTTGCTCTAATGTATTATAGTAAAGGACCCAAAGACAATAAAGAAAAACTTTCTCAATAAGAAGAGTTAAATGTGACCATCCAAAATTCAGCAAAAAAACAGAGAAATATCTTGAATAAAGAGAGTGTATTTTAGTGTATTTTAATAGGAATGTTTTTCTTTATAGCAACAAGCCAAATAACTACAAATCTTTTAAAACAGTCCTTCAGATACGAAACAGAGCAAGCATTTTCTGCTGGAATATTTAATAGAATGAATGATAACCTGCTTGAACTTTTGTGCATTCTAATGGCCTATTTTTTTTGAAAAATAAATCATAAAAATAACAGTTTTTAGTCTTTTTATTCACCACATTCTCAATGTAGAGATATCTAAATATATTATTACAAAAGGATTTTTTTTTAATTTTTTTTTTTTTTTTTTTTTTACAATTTTAAATGTAAATTCCTTACTTTTTACCAATTTAGTAATTTAATTTGATTTAAAGTAATTTAAAAGTCTGTGAAAACTCTGTAAAAGTATAGTTAAAATAACATAGAAATAAAGTTTATAATGCAGTTAAACAAATGTTGGAAAACTAATGTCTATAGTTCCACAACATTTTACCTAATATGTTTATAAAAACACAAGTTTCTAGATTATTATTAAGTTTTATCAGAGGATCTTATAAGAAAAGACACAATTTTTTTTTTTATTTGTGTGCTTTTTATTTTTCTTCTAATATAATATTTTTAAAGACATTAACTTATAGAGTATGTTGAAGATCTAATATAATAATAAAATACATTTTTTTAATTATTTTAATATATATATATAGTTTTTAATATTTTTCGTCAGTAAACCTAAAATTAATAGATAAAAGTATAAAATTTGTATTAATTTAATAAGAATTTGATTAATTTGATAAGATTTTGAAGTTTAATTTATTAATTAGGTTTTTGCATTACTTTACTGAAAAAAGAAATTAAATGTGTAACTGTATACTTTAAGATTTAAAATTAAAAATATATTAAAAATTGTGAGCTCTACGACTGAAATGACCATAAAAGCTTAATTTTATAATGCTTTTGTTTTGATTTTTGTAGAAATTTCCTTTGTACTTTTTTTATTTTACATTTTTTCATTTTTAATTTTTTTAAATATTTGAATTTTTTACTAAAATCTTTAATTGTAAAACATTCAAATATTAAAAAAAACTTGCATACCACTACTTTTGATTATTTTAAGTATTTGTCTTGATAATTCATAGATAATTTTTATGACTGTAAATTAAATGCATCACAAGTATAACTATAGCAATTAATATCTTGTCTCAATAAGTCATGAAGTTAATTTTTTAATATTTTGTCTCAAAAAGTCATGAAGTTAATTTTTTAATATTTTGTCTCAATTCATCACAAGGTTAAGTTTTTATTATCTCTTGAAAACTCTTTCTTTTTTGCAACTCATTCATCCCTTCATCAAAATGAAAGTTGTCTTGATTAAAATTAAGAGCAAAATACATATATAAATAAGTTATAGGTTTTCTATGCCATTCATAAACTGCATACAACTACAATATGCTTGCATATTGTCAGCCCTCAGAATTAGGGTCAACAATGGCAATGCCAACCTAACTGCCAACCTAAAAGTGTTTAAGGTCGATGACATTTTGCTGTTTATATGTTTTATGGGGTAACCCTTTTGTTTCAAATTTTTTTGCCAACCTGATGCCTACCTTAAACAGTTTGAGGTCAGCAATTATTTGCTGACCTCAAACTGTTTAAGGTTATTTTTACTTTTTTTTTCATTATTTTTATATTTACATTTAATGTTTGATCATTCAGGATAATGATATGTGGGAGACAAATCGTCTTTTGACAAGTGGAGTGGTATTACGTACTGAGTTTGAAGAAAATTTTGATGAATCAGATGAGGCTAAAGTTCATCTACTTGTTCACAACATAGTACCCCCATTTTTAGATGGAAGAATCATGTTTACTAAACAGCCAGAACCAGTTATTCCTTTAAAGGTATTTGAAAGATTTTTTTTTCTATATTTAGTAAAAGATCTAATAAAAAATATAAAAGAAATTTTTTATATTTTTAATGAGCTTTTTTTGTCATTTTTGAAACAAGTATTTTTTTGCAAAGAAGCAAGAAAAGTTTTTCGTTGTTGAAAACAATAAGAATAAACTTAAATTGAAAAAACATAAAAAGAGTTGAATTCTTTAACAAGACTGTCTTGTTTAAGAATTCATTTTTTTATTTTTCGATATTACAAAGTTTTTGACTAAACATCTGACAAAAGTGTTTTAAAATGCTGTAGTAACATACATATTTAGTAAGGGCGTCTCGGATATTATTTTTTTATTATCTGACTGGATTTTGAATACCCGGATGTTTAAAAATTATCCAACTGGACATCCGGTCAAATAATGTGATTCAAATTATAAATTATATATTTTATTATGACAAAAAATTACCATGATTAACCATCAAAATGGAGAGTTTTAGTTGGAAGCTTTTTAAAATCAATGATAGTTGTGATTTCACAGCAATTTACATTCCATTTGGAAAGGAAATAAGCAAGGGATGTTATAGTTCTGGTCATTTGCCACAACTCCACTGCATAATCACAAGAAATTGTATAAAGAGGGAAAAAAATTTTTGAATCTTCTTCAGTTTTTTAAGGTAGTTCAAAATGAACTGAATTCTGGTCAAGTATCCTTGATTATAGAAAAAATTAATGACGTTTTCAATTATTGGAGATATAAAGAGAAGTTTCCACTGCTAAAAGAGTTAGGACTTGAGTTACTAGTACCGACTGCATCCTCTGTATTTTCAGAAGACTGTTTTCATTATTTATGATAAAAAGCGATCAAGGCTACCTCAATGTGGAGAAAATCTTAGATTCTCCGCGTTAAGGTAAAAGAAATATAAATAAGTGATAAACTGATGTATTTGTTGCGTATATATAATTTTAGTATTATTTTAACAATATTAGTCACTATATTAAAACCATTAACATTAGATTATTTAAAAATATAACATGTCTAGATTTCTTTCAACTTTCGAATTGCATTAACATATACTTCTATCAAATTGCATTAACATATAACTCTATCCTGTTTTTTATATACTAGAAATATCTAATATATAAAAAACTGGATAGAGTTATTATCTGGCCAGATAATATCGATATCGAATAATACTCCTATCTGGCCAGATAGCTTATCCTGGACACCCCTATTATTTAATAGGTTTATTAATATATAAAGTGATGCATATTTTTCGTTTTAAACAAAATCTTTGTCTACAGCACATTAACTAAATTTGTATTTCTAAACGGCGTTCTTACTATGAGCAATCTAAAAAACCAATTAAAATGTAATAAATAAACTTCAAAACTAAAAAATCACTAATTCATAAATTTGCTATATGCTTAATTTACTACACAAAATTGAATTGCTACATTCATTAAAATATATTGTCTAAAGCTATGCTATTATAAAGCAATTCTTTTATAATCAATTAATCATTACCCCTATTGTAACAGAAAGCAAAAAAATTTTTTTTTTTTTTGCCAACCTGACGTCAGCTCAGTATCAACATGAAATCCTTCAAATTTCGCTGACTGAATGTGTGCTAAATACACACACCAAAGGATTTTTTTTTCACCATGCTGTTCGCTGCATTAAGTCTGACAAAGTTGTTTTGTTCAGAAGTGGTAAAAAGTAAATGTTACGACCAGCACGCTACTTAGAGTTAATTTTTGAAAAAAGTTGAAGACTTTAATGCTGTAACTTTTACATACTAAATTATATAATAGTATTTCACATTTCTGGAAAGTTTCAAGTCATTTCTGTTTTTGGTTAATTTTTAATAACTTAAAAAGTGTCAAATGTTACGACCGCCCTCGGTTAGCACGGATCCTTATAATGCTTACCTAGTTGTCCCAAGAACGCCACTTATACGGAAAGTTAGCCTACACATCAAGGTACCCTGTGATGCAAATTTTGAAATCATTTAATTTTGTCTGCGGAAAATAATTTAATTTGAATGTTCAAATTAAGTCAAATTTTGACTTCATAGTGCGCCAATAAAAATACTTGTAGAATTTTAACAACTCAATATAATTTGATAATAATTGGTGCAAATGTAGCCAATAGTCACACTAAACTCTGGACAAAATTTCAACCTGATTGGATGACTGGTGTAGGTTTTAGTTGAAGTTTTGTCAGTTTTTTGCTACTTTAACATCAAAGCGTTATCGATTACTTTGAAATTCAGTCACTATTTTTAAAATAACGGTTACAAGAGTGTTCTACTTTGTAATACCAACCATTTTTGTTATAATTATTTTATCGGTAAATGTACAGTTTTCATTTTATAGAGCAAAATAGTGATTTTCTACTTAAAGCGTTATTTAAATAGTCTTATGCTAATGGTGTCGACACGGCCTTCAAAGTGGAGGGATTAACCCCTCAATTTCTAAAATAAAATCCATTATTTCTAAAATAATTGCCTATATTTCTAAAACAAAAGGTCCTCGCAAAAAAAAAGTAGAGAAGGACATGACCCCCTAGCCTCCCCGGCGTTGACGGCTATGTATGCTTCAGTTGAATACATTAACATTTCCTAAGGTATAAACTGCTGCCAAAAAAAAAAGCTAAAAAAGAGTGCAAAACCTGGTCAAAGGACTACCAGTTAGTAAAACAAAAAAAAAAAGCAGATCTCCTAAAATATTTTGTAATGATCTCCTTAAATACATTTACTTTTAAAATGAAGTGAAAACTATTTAAACCCTATGCTTGCACCAGTTATCATTAGGTAACACTTTTTGAAATTTTCAATTTTTTCTGCGAAATCCGTCTTAAAGATGTATGCAAAGCAAGCCTTGACAACTAAATTGAAGATTTTGAATGCTTCAATTATGCACACAATATTGGGAACCATGTTTGTCTTAGCAAGTTGCTGCAGTATATCCACATTTTTAAGAAGCTTCCTGCATTCATTTCCCTCAAACTGGCCCCCGTGATACAAGCTCAGTTAAATGTGGAGGGCAGCTAGCCAATTAACAGCTTCTATCCAAGCAGTTTTAAGGGTCTTGAAAAGATGGTTGACAACTCCTAAGAGGAGATGCAATTCCATCAGTGGAGTGATTTCCAAAAGCAGAACATTGACAGGCCCGCAGATGATTGGCTTTTGAATGACATTGCCAAACAGCTTTGCATTAGCAACAACCCCGCCAGATTGCTGAAAAGATTCAAGGCTTGAATTAATTGAGCCCAGTGTTCGCAAGTTTCCACATTTGGCAAGACAATTGGATTTGACGTCACACCAGGTGCAATGGTGCATACTTGAATGAGTTTAAAGACCACAAATTATATTTGCAACTTTCATATCACAAGCCAAAATTAGTTTAACTCCATTTGCATTAATCAGTGACCAGATTTGTTCAGTATTGGAGTGTGTTTTTGGCAAATCTTCTGAAACCCCAACAATAATTTGTTGGGGTTTCAGAAGATTTGCCAAAACCACACTGGTAGTTGTTGGTGCAATGAGCTGGTTTCATCCCTTAACGCAGTATCAACAATGCTTAATTAAAATTTGAGAAAATCTTTGCCACCATCAATTCCGAGCTTAACAAAATAGCCACCAGAAATATTGCCGGACTGAATAACATGATTCACAAGACTTGATAAATCATTGCAGTGAGCAACATGAACTGTACAAGAATCTGTTTTTTCGTCTGTGATTTTTAAGTCGCTACAGGTGAAGAAATTGCTCAATTGTTGACCTAGTCTTAGAAAATTCATGTAGAAACTTCTCTCTACCATCTTGCTGCTTGATGTTTTGTTTACAGTTCTAACAGATTTCTTTAATCCGATGTTTGACAGGCCTGTATTTAATTGCACATTTGCAAGGGCTACAGTGGTCAATTTCAGAGCACTTAATGGTGCCTGCGCACTACTTTGACCTTAACCAAAACATACATATTTTATAGTTGCAATAAACTTTGTTTAGTAAGTTTGTGTAAAACTTTCAAATTATTTGTTTTTAAAGAAATTAGAAACTTGTCAAAAATATACTTCTTGAAATCTATCTAGTGTTATTTCTTAATAGTCAAGACTTTATTTCAATATATATGTGGAAATTATTTAAGTATAAAATTTACCAGGGGTAACTGTAAGTGGAGGCCTGCCGGATGCTTTAGCCAGTAGAATAGTTCCTTCCAGAGATAATTCTTAATTGGAAATAACTCGAGATGTGATTTGTTCGGATGATTTGGCATCTTTTGCTGCTAAAGATTGAATGTTTTCCCTTAACATTATTTGAGAGCATTGATAGGGCAAACCTTTTTTTTTTTAAAAAAAAAAGGCTTTTATTTTTCCTAAAGGGCTGAAGCATTTGCTGCAACGCACCTTTTTTCTCAAAGTGGTTTGCTTTATAAGAGGATGTTTTTCTTGCAGTTTTGAACAACCAATTTGGCATATTAGGCAACAACACATCGTACCTCTTGTTTTAGGTCTCACTTGTATTGACTTAAAATCAAACAAAGAGTGCAACTTCTTTCCCCTCTTGTTTCCTGTTTCCTTCATATTATTAATTAAAAACTATTAAAATATAGGAAATATTTACTTGATTTAATTGAGGTAATATTAAATTACAAGGAAATAGTTCTTGAATAGTTCTTTCCTTACCAAGAAACAATTGTTTAAACTATTTACTTGTAAGGAAATTACATTATTGATAATTGTCACACTTATTAAACTAATGATACTTGTCACACGGGTTGTTTTATTTCAAAACAACCATTCAACCTAATTAGTTATTCAGTTAGAGTGATTTTCCTCTGACTGGCCCTCCAAACTTTGTATTGGTCAGATATCTTAGTTAACTTATCTAAATTTTTTAAGTCAATTATCTTTGTCAATATAAAAAATATTTGGTTTTTTCACAGTTGTTCTGTTTTCAGATAAATAAATATTTTTATTTTCTATGTAGGTATTCCTAGAAATCCTTCTTTACCATTTTTTTAGAATTTTTTGCATTCTGGCAGTAGTTTATACCTTAGGAAATGGTGGTATATTCATGCTATGCATACATGGCTGTCAAGGGAGCCATGACCTGCCCACTTTTTTTTTGCGAGGATCTTTTTTAGGCAATTATTTCAGGATCTTTTTTAGGCAATTATTTCAGAAATTATGGATTTTATTTTAGAAATTGAGGGGTTGACCCCCTCCCTTTGAAGGGCGTGTCAACGCCATTGGCATAAGCTGATTCAAATCATGCCTTAAGTAGCAACTCACTATTTTGGTCTATAAAATGAAAACTATACATGTACCGATAAAATAATTATAACAAAAATTGTTGGTATTACATAGTAGAACATTCATGTAATTGTTATTTTAAAAATACTACACCATTCATCCAATCAGGCTGAAACAAAAGATTAAAATTTGAGGTAGATTAGATAGTATTTCTTAGAGACTTTGTACAAATAGACTTTTTAATAATCTTGTATCCTTGAGGTCGGGATCGTGTCACAAAACAAGTTACCATCTTTGTAGGGGAAAACATTGAACAAAATGCGTTATTAGCACGTTTTGTTTAATGCCTTAACCCGACTTTAAAATTTAAACAATAAACAAAACGCGCTAATAACGTGTTTTGTTTGATGTTTTCCCCCTACAAAGATGGTAACTTGTTTTGCGACGCGATCGCGACCTCAAGGATATATACTTCATAAATATATTCTTCTTATATATTATAGGCGTGTATAAAAAAAAGCGTTACATGAATTTAAAAAAAAAAAAATCTTTTTTACATTTTTATGAATAGAACCAATAGAAGGGTATTAAATGCAGTATTAGCATAGTGTGTAATCATACAAAAAAGAAATTGTCTTGATTATTTAACAGTTCTTATTTTATAAGTTTACAAATTTCCAAAGAATACCGAAAACCCGGACTATAATGTTAAATTCTTTTGCAACACATGCATATTTTGCCTGCTTTTTAACATACTATTAATTTATCTTTTAACATAACACAGAATAATATGGAGTAATTATAGCTGTTTGAAATAACTTGTTTGATTTTTATTTTTTATTTTTACATCAGAATATTCAAAAATTATTTTTTTCATATTTTTTTTAGTATATCCTGAATGAAATAGTTTCGTTTAACTAGTAAAACAAACAGTTTTACAAAATTACATCATTTGAGATGTTTTTAAAAGAATAACTAAATAAAAACATAAAAATATTAAACTTTATTTTTATCAAAAAACTTTTCCACAGGCTTTATTTCGCCCATGTAAACTGCTTTGCACAGGTTGGGAGGTGGGTGCGGGCTATAGCCTGCCGTTCCTGCCGATGCCTCTATATCTATACATCTTATATATATATATGTATAATGGGGTGATGTATATATATCTACCGGCCTCGGCGGGAATAAATGAGCACAAGAATGGAAAAAAGCTCTCCTAAAATGAACTTGGGGAACTGTGTGAGCTGCTCCTCATTTAAAACGGTTCTTTTTTTTAATTTAATTTTTTTTGTTGTTGAAACAACCATGCTTTTTAAAAAGTATTGCAGTATATTATGCAGTTAATTATTTTTAAATGACATTGTTTTTTATTTCAGTTACAATGATACTTATACTTTCGTGAGAAAAACTATACTTTTACAAGAGCCGTAATTTGCTCCCGTAAACCGTTTTAGGAGAGTGTTGGCGAGAGCGAGAGCTATAGTTCTCGCTTCCCGCCGAGGCCTGTATCTATATATGTGTATATATGTATATATATATACATATATATATATATATATATATATATATATATATATATATATATATATATATATATATAGAGAGAGAGAGAGAGAGAGAGAGAGAGAGAGAGAGAGAGAGAGAGAGACAGACAGATAGATAGATATATATATATATATATATATATATATATATATATATATATATATATATATATATATATATATATATATATATATATATATATATATATATATATATATATATATATATATATATATCAATTCTGGGAATTAGAAATAATGAGGTAAGCAATAATTTGCTGACCTTAATCTTTTAGACGTCGACAAATAAAATTTGAAATAAAGTATATATTTATATAAACTATTTATAAATAAAAAAGTGCTGAAAGGCTTCTCACTATTAATTTGACAGTTGCCATTTGGCAATGCGACCTAGAAGTGTTTGAGATCAACAAAAAATTGACAACCTTATTTCTATGGTTTATGGTTGTACCAATAAGCCATAGAAAATAACTAAATTTATTCAGCTAAAAATAAAATTTACTAAATAATTAATGTAAATATATGCTTTCTGTAAATTTATATGTAGTTGACATTTAATGTAAAATTCTTGTATAACGTTACATACAAATATCTATAAGTTGTAACCATTCTTTAAGTTGTAACATTACCTTGATGAGGTGAATTAACAATTGAAAAAGTAAAAAAAAAAAAATGTAAACATCAGTACGTTGAGTTAAGTTTGCGGATCATTTATGGAACAATTGTGTACATCATTTTTTTTGACCCCTAAGCATGTTTTTTCAAAGTAAGCAGTTAATAATTACTGTTTTCTAGTAAAATAAAATTACAAATATTTATAAATGTTTTTAAATGTATTTGTTTCAAAATAGGATCCAACTGGCGATATGGCAACTGTATCCCGCAAAGGGTGTCATTCAGTTCGTGTTCATCGAGAAAAAAAAGAGGCACTCAAAGCTCAAAGAAGAGAGTGGGAATTAGCTGGAACTAAAATAGGTGACATTTTGGGTATAGAAAGAAAAGAAGATAAAGATGTTAGTTTTTTTTTTTTAATTTTTGTTTTACACATTGTTTTGTTAATTTTTATATTTTTTGTTGTAAGATCATGATCACTCTTTATAAATACAATGTTTAATCTCTCACAGTCTAAAGTAAATACAATGTTTAATCTCTCACAGTCTAAAGTAAATACAATGTTTAATCTCTCACAGTCTAAAGTAAATACAATGTTTAATCTCTCACAGTCTAAAGTAAATACAATGTTTAATCTCTCACAGTCTAAAGTAAATACAATGTTTAATCTCTCACAGTCTAAAGTAAATACAATGTTTAATCTCTCACAGTCTAAAGTAAATACAATGTTTAATCTCTCACAGTCTAAAGTATATCAAATCATTTTTAATGAATCTTTTTTCTAAAGTATATCGAATCATTTTTAATGAATCATTTTTAATGAATTATACTAACAGTTACTAACCTTATTTTTATAACTGTTAGTAAACTAATGTTTACAAACAATTATAAAAATAAGGTTTAAATAGTTATAATTAATACTAATAGTAGTCATAACTAATCTCTTTTAATAATAAACTAATTAAACAGAGTATAACCTTTTTTATTTTCAGTTTTTTCAGTTTTTGATTTATTCTCTTAATTAAAGAGAATAAAACAGAGCATAGCAAAATATTTTTTTTTAGAAAACTTGTTATCATTGTTATCACAAGCAGATTAGCCGATTACCTGCATTAAATATAACAAAAATAAATTTTTTGTTAAAAATAACCTATGAGCAAGTTTTGATACGCAATGAGTGCTTTTTTTAAAATGTGCAAAAATCTATAAATTTTTTTGCAACTATAAAACTTGTTGAACCTCCACTAGCAGCCATACTTAAACCTCTCATCTGTTGAACCTCCACTAGCAGAACTTAAACCTCTCATCTGTTGAACCTCCACTAGCAGCCATACTTAAACCTCTCATCTGTTGAACCTCCACTTGCAGAACTTAAACCTCTCATTTGTTGAACCTCCACTAGCAGCACTTGAACCTCTCATCTATTGAACTTCCACTAGCAGCCATACTTAAACCTCTCATCTGAAAATGCTTATTTGTTTACTGTTCTAATAAAATAATTTATTTGTCAGCAGAGTTATTTTTTCTTGCGTAACTTTTAATTATATTATTTACTGCAAAGATCATTTCTTTCTTATAATTGTTAAAAATGTCAAATGTGAGTCTGCAATAGATTATACACCTATGCCTATGGATTATACCTAGAGAATCTTTGACTTTAGACCCACTTGCCAAGAAATGTTCACATTTTTGATGTAACCCCACATTAAGTTGGATTATATCATAAAATATTGTTTAAGACCACATAAAGTAAGGTTTGTCTCATATGAAACTAATGTAAAGATCTATTAGCCAATGTACGCACATGGGCTGACTTAAATATATAGAACATGCAAAAGTGTATTTTTTTTTATGGTAAAAAATAAAGGCAACTATCCAAATGTTTTTTCTTATTCTTTATTGAAACAGTTTGGGATTTTGTTACATGTTAAGAAGTTGAAATGTAAAAAGTAAAAAATCATAAAATTACTAATTTGCACACTGCATCATAAACTGAAGATTCACCATGTAGGGTGCACATTTTTTGTTTTTTCTTTTTATGTTGTCCAAACCATCATTTATTATCATTTCACTTACCATTTTATTATTTACTTATTTTATTTTGTTATTTTGTATTTTATAATATTTTTAATCATGGTAGCCATTAACACACCAGCGGATTTATAAAGACTTGTTTACTCTTAAGCTATTGTTTTATCCTTTGCTAAGGATGACTAGAGCATGAGTTATTGTTCACCCTCTTACTGATTTATGAAATTTTATTCCTTCTACTAATAGTCTTTACATTTATTTATGGTTCTTACCCTATTACATCATCTTTACATTCATTCATGATTCTTACCCTATGACATACAATCTGGTTCTATTATCACATTTCCCAGGTCTACAAAACTGGAGGGCTTTCTTGTTCATTTTTTGCAATCATTTGTTGCATAAACAAATTAAAATATATTGTTTGTGGCTGGTGCGCCTCGACTTCTAACATACACCACAATGATAAAATGGACATTAGGCTATCCTACTGGATGTGGTTACTGTGCTCAATAAATTAATGACTACACTGACACTCACACACTCATTTATTCAGAAGCTCACTTTGCATTTTGGATCAACGCTCATTGACTATGTACTCAGATCTAAAATCTTACTTCGTCATTCCACATGAGCACGGGGTCATAGAATTTTGACTAAAAGTGATGTCTTGTGGCCTACGGTGACTAATGTGTGCATTCGATCAATTGAAACCCATTCTGTAGGTCTTATGTCTGGCTCTGATGTGCTAGCCCATTAGCACAAGATGTGAGTGTGTTAAGCTTTCTATTCACCCGATTTGAAAGTGGGTGAAAACATAACTAGACCATACCAGATGTTCAAACGGAACATACTAATTCACTACACCATCACACCTGTTGACATCAACAGTCTCTCAGACTGTTGATGTCTACAGGTGTACTACACAAAAGTCTTACCACTAAAAAGAACTATTAAAAAAATTTTAAAGAATTTTATAAGAAAAAAAAAAAGGGTAAAACAATATTTTAATATATAATTTTGTTGCTATTTTTTTATAATAATATTTTGGTAATGGAAAGACATTTTTATCAGTTTTACTTTTTCATTTTTTATTGATTTTAATTTGTTAGTATTTAAAAAAAATTAAATAGCTACGGTTTCTAATCAATTTTTAATAGGAAAAATAATTGTTTGAATAAATACTTGTATCACTTTTGCAATCATATGAAAACTAATCAAGGCAAAGCAACAAAGAAAATATTTTTATTCAAATTAATAACTGGAAATATGAAAAAATGTTTTTCTTGTTTTGTTTTGCCTAGCGTTCAATTAGTATTCATAAATAGTTTTCATTGATTAAAAATAGACCTTATAATAAACTCTGCTTTTTTATTGAAAATGTTGTTATTTTGAACTTTGCCTAATATAACTATTTTTGTAAATTTCTCAAGTCAAACTTAATTAAAATATCTTTAATTTGAGAAGCTGCTCTTAATGTTGTATTAAAACGGTTAATCAGAAAACTTTACAATGAATGTGCTAAAAAAAATGCAAAAGAATGATTGACATTGCGAAAGGGTGACGTCTTTAAAGCACTCTTATGTATTTTACACTCTAGTTGTTCATATAGAGTACACCAAGGGTGTATTTCACACTCTTGGTGTGAAATGTACCCTTACTATATTTTGTGAAATACAACATTGCTATTAGCTCAAATAGTCTTTATAATGAATGATTTGTTATTTGTTACTATTTTTGTTTTTAAGGACCTACATGGAGATGAAGGTGATTATAAGAAATCACAACAATTCTCAGAAGTCATGAAAGAAAAAAGTGAAGCATCCAGTGATTTTTGTAAAAAAAAAACCCTTAAAGAACAGAGGCAGTATTTACCTATATTTGCTGCACGCTCAGAGTTGCTTACAATTATTCGTGACAACCCTGTTGTTGTAATAGTAGGTGAGACAGGATCTGGTAAAACAACCCAGCTGACGCAGGTATTTACAGTATATTTAATAATGATGTTATAATGAAAGCCATTTAAAATAAACTAGATTTTATTCATTGCTACCTAATACTATATTGTAAATGTGTTAGTTTTCGAATACATTTAGAATGCTCGCATTTATATGATGTTTTAGTCAAAACTGCTTTTTATTTAAAAAACTGAAGTTTTTAATGATGTGATAAAGAATTACATACTTTTAAAAAATCCTTTAGTTTTTAAAAAGACTTGTAATAAGAACTTGTAAAAAGTTGATGTAATTTGTAGTTTTTAACCAACCATATTGTTGTTAGTTATTTTAGTGCTTGGTTTTTTTATTTGTTTTATTATATCTTCCAAAAAATGAGATTTTGACAAATAGAAATATAGATGTTTATATTATGCACATATTGGACCTGATTTGTTGAAAATCCCTTGTTTTATGACATCAATCTAAAGCCATTCTTTAAATAATATTTGTTAATTTAAGAAGAAGAGTTATACGTATGTTTTTATTTTTTATAGTATTTGCTTGAGGATGGTTACAGTAAGTACGGTATTATAGGATGTACACAACCTCGTCGTGTTGCGGCCATGTCTGTTGCAAAACGTGTTAGTGAAGAAATGCAAGTAAAACTTGGTGATGAAGTGGGTTATGCTATACGTTTTGAAGATGTTACTAATGAGGTTTATTATTTTTGTTTCTTATTTATGTTTTTTTTTTTCAAAATAAAAATAGTATTTAACTTCAGAATGTTTGAAAAAGCTATTCTTTAAAAATTCGTGTGTTTTTATAAAATATTTTGTGTTACAGCTAAATGAGTATAATTTATATGAGTAAAATTATTTGTATCATTACTGAGTTTAGAATGATTATATCAATTATTATCATCAGTTGTATCATTAAATTAAGATATTGTTTTTGTTTTATAGTAACATTTTTTAATTGTAATTTTTTTTCTATTATGCTTCCTATTCTATTATGATTTTACGTTTATTTTTGGAAACATATCTCTATTTTTTTTTTAATCAATAATTGTAATATATTTATGCATCATCAAATTCATGCTTATTAGATTTTTCTGATTCTCAATGATTGAAAAAAATCATAAAAAATTATAGCTGCACTATTGAGAAAAATATTCATTTAGTTTAGAATTTACACAAGAATTTTATATTTACAATGTATATATGAGAGAGAAAAGTTGTTTAATTTTAATGTATGTCATTTTAAAAAAAAAGTCTAAAAATCAATTTATTTATAACCATTTTAATTTAAATACAAATTAAATATTTTATTTTTAATTATTTAATTTTTTAGAAAACCATCATCAAGTATATGACAGATGGAATTTTGTTAAGAGAATGCTTAGCAGGATCAGACTTGGATACTTACAGCTGCATAATTATGGATGAAGCTCATGAGCGTTCTTTAAATACTGACGTTTTGTTTGGTTTACTAAGAGAGGTAAATGATATATTATTTATGATTCTTTGCTACAAAAACAGAGAACTTGATACAAAAAATAATTCCTTTATTTATTTAGAATAACTTCTTTTTCTAAGCTTTCTAAACCAGTTGTTTGTATTGGTTGTACAAAAAAAAAAAAAGATATCAATACAGGAAAAGGTTTAAATTTTTGAAACCTTTTCCTGTATCAATATCTTTTTTTTTTTTTTTTTTGTAAATGTGTCCATAAACATTTTTGTTTTTATTGAAAATACTTGATAATATTTTGTCAAGTATTTTCAATCTTTACCTTTAAAAAAAGACTTTAAATGGTTAACGTCAATAGAATCAATAACTTAAATAAAAAATGAATAAAAATAAATTTTTTTTCAGTAAATTCCCGTTACCTTTTTTTTCCTTTTTTTAAATGTTTTTTTATGCATTAATTTTACCTGTGTATGGTTTCTGTGCAGATGATAAACTAATGATAGTAAAGCTCAGAAATGTAATTTATCTATTTATGAAGTTCAAAGCAAATTTATGTTTGATTGATAGGTGTGTGCAGTTTATACCAATTTTCACTCCACTCTTCCTTTTTTAAAATTTTTTAAAATGATTTGGTTGTAGGTTGTAGCACGTAGAAACGACATGAAACTTATTGTAACATCAGCAACTATGGACTCTTCCAAATTTTCAAACTTTTTTGGAAATGTGCCAGTTTACACAATCCCTGGTCGCACCTTCCCTGTCGATGTTATGTTTAGTAAAAATGTTTGTGATGATTACGTTGATGCAGCTGTTAAACAAGCGCTTCAAATACATTTAATGCCTTCAAATGGGGACATTTTAATTTTTATGCCAGGACAAGAAGATATTGAAGTTACCTGTGATCTGATTTCTGAACGTTTGGGAGAAATTAAAGAGGTTCCTCCTCTGGCTGTTCTGCCGATTTATTCACAGTTACCCTCTGATCTTCAGGCAAAAATATTCGAAAAAGCACCAGACGGTGTTCGAAAATGCGTTGTTGCTACAAATATTGCTGAAACATCTTTAACTGTTGATGGTATTTGTTTTGTTGTAGATGCTGGTTATTGTAAGTTAAAAGTATTCAATCCGCGAATCGGTATGGATGCTCTTCAAGTTTATCCTATCAGTCAAGCAAATGCAAATCAGCGCTCAGGGCGAGCAGGTAGAACTGGTCCTGGTCATGCTTATAGGCTATATACTGAACATCAGTATAAAAACGAAATGCTTCAATCAACTGTTCCAGAAATTCAAAGGACTAACTTAGCAAATGTTGTGTTACTATTAAAATCGCTAAATGTAGAAGATTTACTTGAGTTTCATTTTATGGATCCTCCACCACAAGTTAGAAATCGTTTGAAATGATATATATAAAATAATAAAAATATAATAAATATGATAAAATTGAAATCATTTTGAAAAATTTTAACTCTGAAAAAACACTTTAGGAGAATATTCTTCAGTCAATGTATCAATTGTGGGTTCTTGGTGCAATAGATAACACTGGTTCATTGACAAAAAGTGGAAGACAAATGGTAGAATTTCCTCTTGATCCAGCACTCTCAAAAATGTTAATTGTTTCATCAGAAATGGATTGTGCTGATGAAATACTGGTATGTTACTTTTTAGTAATTTTTTTTTTCTTTTCTGATCTTTTTTTTACTAGAATTTTTGTTTTTATGAAAGTTTATTTAGGATAATTTATGAGATTTATTATTGATTTATGTGATTTATTGTTGATTGTCTATAATCTTATCTTTTAATTGAGCTATCTTTTATTATTATTATTAATCATATGCTTTATGAGTTAAAATAGACAGTTTTATAAATGAAGACAAATTTATAAAGCCTATTTTAAGTCCTTTAACTAAAGTTAAATCCGATAAAATAAGTTTGGTACAAATTTGGTATAAGCCAGTTATACAGCCAAGAACAGTGACAATTTATTAGTAATATGCTCCCAAGATTTCTTGTAAAAAAATAACCTCTGGTTTAGTATTTTTAATTATGTTGTAAATATTTTATTGATGTCAAAAATGAAAGAAATATAGTTTTAAAAATGTCAAGTCATGTTATCCACAATTTTTAAAGTCGAACCATTTTTTGACAGGTGCTTTTTTCTTTATTTTATAAAAAAATATTAAGATGTTAGGGGTACCAGGAATATAATAAGCAGTCAATTCAGGCTTGGACAGGAATGGCGTGCGATCAAGCGCTATTGCTGACCACGCAAATGATTTCATTTTTTGACAACTTAACCACAATTTTTTATATGTTTTGATGATTTAAAAATTTCAGAAATGCTCTGAATGTAGAAACGCTAAGCTAAACTTAAACTAGGAAAAAAGTTAAAAAAAAACTAACAAAAAAGAATAAATAAATGAATAAACAAATAAAATGCGCCTGCAATTTAAATAAAATAAGCATTTTAATTTAATTAAAAAAAGGTTTTCAACTTTTTTATTTGTAAAAATAAAAATAAAAAATTAATAAATAAAATGCGCCTGCGATTTAAATAAAATAAACTGCCAACAAGCATTTTAATTTAATTTTAATTTGAGCATTACAACTTTATCAATAAGCATTTCACGTAATGAATTTAAAAATTATTATAAAATATTTAAACTCATTCATTCCTATCAAACTTTAAAAAAAAATTTTTCAAAAAATAAAATGTCTATTTAAAACATTTTAAAAAATCGTAAGATTAATTACAAAAATTAATCATATGAACATAATAAAATGCTTTAGAACTTTTTAAAAAATAAACAAAATACATTCTTATATAAGTAAATAAAGTTATTTTATATTCTTTTATAATTCACATAAAAGTTGTAAAAGCTAGTAGTCGCAAAAGGTTTTGAACTTATTCTTAAATTAAAGTAACTTAAAAAAAAATTATTTCTAAAAATAATGTTAAAAAATGCTTTAGGAAGGCATGAAAAAATAGTTTCAAACATTTAAATTTATCATAAAAAATACATGCCTACATAAAAAAAACTTCTATATAACATTTTTTATTAATTTACACAAGCATTTATGTAAATAATAACTATAATTAACTTTATGGTTTTATTTAAAGCCTTCGCGTATTATAAAAACTTTAGAAAAGATCAATGATTAAAAGATATTTATAATGTAACACTTTTTTTATTGCATTCAAATTGTTAAAACATAAAAAAAAGCCTTGGTCAAATTGTAAAGAAAAAAAAATATGAGCGTGGTCAGTAACAGAGTGCGCTCGCACGCCATTCTTGTCCAAGCCTGTCAATTGCCAGTGATTGGACCAAGCGAGATTACTTTTTAGACATCCCAAAACAAGTTCTTGCCATTTAAGGTTAATTGGTTGATAAAAATTACAAATAGTTACAATTGTAAATAATTCAATTAATTCAAAAACACCACAATGTTAATTATTAAAAACTACAATGTTAATTACTAAACTCAACAATATTGATAATTAAACAAAGGTATGCAGAGTCTTAAAACTCCGGATTTCAATGTCACAAAAAGATACTTCTTCCTAGTTTTTTATATCTAATAATATAAAAAATGCCTTTGGACTACTATTGGTAAAAAAATTAAGACTTTTAGGTTAGGGAACAATCACTTTTTGAACCCGGAGTCCTTAGGTATAATGGCAGCAAGGACTCAGGGACTCCAGGAGTCAGGGCTTAAAAATGATATGTTTCAAGTCATTAAATTTTTTTATATAGCAGATCATAAATCAACAAACATGTTTAGATCTTCTGGAAACCAGAGACCAGGAAAAAATATAAACCATTTTGGGACAAGATATAAACCATTTTGGGACTCCACATCCCTGATTAAACACCATAATTTTAATTACTAAACTCAACAACATTTAAACTAAACTGTGTTGTGTTTATTGATTATTAAACACTATGATTTTTATTACTAAACTCAACAATATTGATTAATAAACAACACAATATTTAATATTAAACACCATGATGCTCCATGAAACAAACACACACCACATTGTAATTTGTATGATATTTATAAATCATTTTTACATTTTGATTATAAATGCAAAAAGGATTGCCACAAACTATGTATTTTCTATTTTTTCAAAAAAATAAAAAAAAATCACAACATTAATTATTTTAAGACTACGCTTGTGAAAAATGGCTGCAATTTTATTATTGAAAGAGTACATTTGTGAAAAAATGGCTGCAGATTTGTTCCAAGCAGAGTTTGTGATAGTTGCTGATTAAAAATATTAAAAAATAAAAGCGGATTAAAAATTACATCAAAAATTAGGCTTTGTTGCTTAAGCTTCAAGCTATTTAATTTTAATTCAAAATCTATCAATCAATCTACTTGAAATTATTTTTTTGCACAATTTTAAAACTAAAACTTAGAGAAAAGCATCTAGTCAAAGGCATTTGAAATGAAACTAGTGATACATGTTTATAATCAAGCTCATCATCCTCAATCACTCAATTAACTTAAAAAATGATGTCCAAAATGCTTATTAATCATTGATTGATGGTATTTTTTCATTTTAAAGTTATGAATCCCAAGTGTTTTGGTGACTACCAGAAAATTATTTCAAATTAATTTAGTTTGTAAATAGCTACTTTAGACAGTCAAAAGTACAAACTTTTTTTACCATTAATCTGAAAACCTTAGACGTAATGTTTGGCTATATACCTGTGTTTCTAGCACTACTTGCACCAGTCAACAGGATCAGACTATATATAAGGAAATATTTCCAGTAGGAAATTTAGAAAAAAAGTGAAAAAATAAACAAAGGTGTTGTTAGCAATCTTTTCAAGAAGCTTCTGCGATGTTTGTCAAAAGCAAAATTAAATTGAGCAACTTCAAAGTATTTAGTTTTTAGGAAAAAAGTGCAGGAACCTTTTTAAATTTTTTGACATACTTTGAAGAATTTATGATAACCGAGAGTATATAAACTAATAAAAAACTGTATTCTATACTAAAAATGTAATGGGAAGAAAATAAAAATAACAAAAAGTTTGGCTGTCACTTTGCACACTACAAGGATTATTATTGTGATTTCTTATACCTTTAAGATGATCAGGTGTTTTCTGTTACTCTGCAACAATTGTTTTAAATAATAAAGTCATAATGCTTAAAAAAAAAAAAAAGTTATTAAAAGATGCTGTTTTGAGTACACTGAGCTCAGTTGTAAAAGTGCTCGATTTGAGCTGTTAAATGTAAAAATTAATTTGTTTACTAAATAGATAAGCAAGTTAAGCAATTTTAGTTGTACTGTACATTTATTTTGAATGTACAGTATAACTGAAATCGCTAAACTGCATAAATATTTGTTAATCAATTTTTTGAATAGTATATGAATTAATTTAACATTTTTTTTTATTTTTATTTTGATTCACCTCCTCAAGGCCGAGAAGGCCACTACAAACGAGGAGGCTACTTATTTGTGGCTATAACCCTCTCTCAACTCTATAACTCTGAAACACAAACCTTGACGAACAAGGCCGCTGCGCGGAGAAACGAGTTGAGCGCGGTACTACCAGGGACGTGGTGGGGATTTAACAGCTTGAATCAAACATTTTCACTACTGAGCTCAGTGTACCCAAAACAACATCTTTAATAAACTTTTTTTCTTTTTTATATTTTAAACATGAGCTGATGTAACAAATATTAAAAAAAAAAATTATTCTGTGTGTTATTGCATTAACATTATTTTAAATATATTTAGAAAAGAAATAAAAAATGAGAGGCATAAAAATTAACATCTTATACTGCTGATACTAAAATAACATCTTATACTAAAAATAAACATCTTATATTGCTGATAAAAACTAACATCTTATACTGCTGATTTAGGTGAGTAATGTGACATTAAACTGAAATAGCCTTCTGCCAAGGGCTTCACTACATACATAGACTGACAAATAGCCTGACTCACAGCAGAATGCTGCTACATCGACTGGGGGTTTAACATGGGGCAGCCATCTTTTCATTCATTATTCTTCATTTTCTTAAAAAGCTGTATCGATTAAGATAAGCAAAAAAAGTGAGTCAATTCTTATATAAATACACTATAGTGTGTATATATATATATATATATATATATATATATATATATATATATATATATATATATATATATATATATATATATATATATATATATATATATATATATATGTATATATATATATATATATATATATATATATATATATATATATATATATATATATATATATATATATATATATATATATATATATATATATATAACTATCTGTATGTAATATATGTTATATAAATAAAATAGAATGTAGTAACATAAACTAATACTGTTAAGAAATATTTATTCTCTAATGTTTAACATATTTTTATAAATTAGACAATAGTATCAATGCTATCGGTGCCATCTATATTTTCTCGACCAAGAGGTCGTGAAGAGGAAAGTGATACAGCTAGAGAGAAATTTCAAGTCCCAGAAAGTGATCATTTATCATATCTGCATGTATATCAACAATGGAAGGCAAATGGGTGAGTATTCTAAATAAAGATTTATAAGTTATGATTTTTTTTTAATTTACACTAAAATATTTTTCATAATACAATTTTATTCAAGCTCTGTTTTAAAATCATACATCATTGAACCTTGCAAAAATTTCTTGAGACTGACACTTTCCCATCGATTGTGACAAACTTGGCTCTGTCAAAAAAATAATTATGAGTTATAATGCTTAACCATTTATTTCAAACAATAGTGATTTAAAAAAACAGGCTTGCATGGAGGTGTTAAAGACCTTAGTCAATAAATACACCTCTCACAAGATTGTTATTATCAATGCTTTTTTTGATACTATCAGTAAAAATTGTAACAGCTGATTCTGCAGAATGTTTAGATCTATAACTATAATAAGTTAGTGAATGCATAATAACAGGATGCTCAGCATCTAAATTATGTTAAAAAGTCAGAGAAAATTCAGGGAATTTATTAAATTTTGCAAAAATTATGGGAAAGTCAAAGAATTTTGATGGACCCAATAACAAAATATTTCTATAATTATATAATATTTATAATAATATATATAATTTATAATTTTAAAAATTTAAACAAAATTTTTTGTTTAATAGAGACTGAAAATGAATAATTTTTTTTTACTTCTAATTTTTTTTAATTTTATAATTTATTTTATTTTATTTTTTTCTTTAAAAACGTTTATTAATCTAAAGTAAACAGTTTTTAGAAGAAATTCTAATATTTGGGTAAAGTTGTGTAAGTTTTATTTGTTGCCTTTTTATTGCTACATTTGTTAAATTTACATCGGTAAGTCAGGAAAATTTTAAGGAAAATGAAATCAAAAATTTTCTGCCCTGAATAAATTGCTTTCTTTTAGATATCACTAATTTGTTGATGCTTTTTTTAAAAACTTTATATATTATAGGAAGGACAGAACTACTGTTCTAACCCTTAAGGTACTGAAAAATTTAAGTTTGGCACAAAAGTGTTTTTCTTAGCTGGCTTCAGATCACCAATTTTAAACGCTCCCAATTAGATGATGGCATAGCATAATGTTGAGCAAAGATTTGTTATAAAATATACAGTTTGTTCAATTACACGATAACCTAACATTTTTAATGCAAATGAAATTCATGGAATAAAGTTATTCCATCACTTAAGTGCTGCATCAGTTACCTATCCATAAGATTGCTTATAGTGAAGGACTGGAAATATTAACAATTACAAATGACTTTTAAAAGAGCTTTATTTTAATCAATAAAATTTATTTTATTGACCAAATTAAAATCATTTTTTTTTAGACCAATCAAAATGTTTAGATTTTTTTTAATTCATCTGATAAAATAAATAGCATAATAAAGCATGGAATAAATGTTGCAATATTTAAAAGGGTATTAAATATAAATAAAAACGGTAACAGGATATTGCGACTGCTGTCAAGAATTTACTTTAAAAATTTGATGCAAATTGTCAAAAATGGTAAACAGTAGCTTTAGATTTAAACTCCCTAAGAAAAGAATCAAACTTTAAAAACTGCAATAGAATGTTGGAATAGAGTAGACTTTAGAGTTGCATTCAAATAAACTCATAAAGAAAATGTTCTTATGTAAAGTTCTCCAAAACTTCACAATATAAAATCTAATTTTGCAACTGTAACAAATATTAAAATATTTGTCATAAAATCAAAGTAAAAATATATGTACACTTAGTACTTAGTTCCACTACACTATTTTAAAAATATATGCACACTTATATTATACTTAGTTCCACTACACTAATTTAAAAATATATGCACACTTAGTACTTAGTTCCACTACACTAATTTAAAAATATATCCACACTTAGTACTTAGTTCCACTACACTAATTTAACAAGATAAAGTGGGTTTAATATTTTTTCTTTTTTTATAAAAAGTTGTTTCTATTTATTTCAGTATGAAAAGTGAAAAGTTTTTTTGATTGAGCAAGAGCTTCAATCATATTATATATAAAAACTATTTAATAAAAGCATGAGCATTATTCCAGTTTCCGTTTAAAAAAAAAAGTTGTTTTTGTTATGTTACAAGTGGCTGGAAATCATGGAATAGCTACCAATACTATCTATTGTACTATCTTTTATTGTGTTATTGTTTAAAGAAATCATATTTGTTTTAAGGTATTCATTATACTTGGTTGTTCTTAATTTAGTTAAAAAGTTGTTGTTTCATGGTGTAATAAATATGTTTACTTCTTAGTAAATTAATAAAGATTAACAAAACATATTGATTGATGTTCTGAATGACATATATACTGTACTGTTTAATCCTTTGAATGCTGGGTAAATATTTGAAAACTTGGTAAATATTCAATATTGTGTCATTGTTATTCATTTTGTTATAATAAAAATGATTTTTTGTAATGATTTGGTTATTTTAACTGAGAAATAATAAAAAATATTGATTGGTGTTTCAGATTAAGATTATAAAGACCCAAATGGTTTTGTCATTGACACAGTTACTGACTGTGTAATTAATTTTTTCATTATTAGCAACCAAATCTAAAAGGCTTTTAACCCTGCACCTGAAATTTTATGCTGTTTACTTCAGTTGCTGTTTACCCAGACTAAAATTGTCACAACAACAACCTTGTAAAATTGTATTTTTATCTCCATCCTATTTGCAAATAGTATCAAACCATAGGACAATGTTGGCAACCAACTATACTAAATGGGTAGTATAGTTGGTTGCCAACACTGTCCAATAAATCTTTTTATTATTTCTTATATAGAACAAAATAAGGAGAGATAAATGGATTCTATTTAACATATAGACATGTTGCTAAAAATTCACTTACATCTATTCTAAAATCAAGAATACCCCTAAATTTACTATCATTAGGATAAATGTTATAAATTTAAGATCAAATCTGACTACCAAAGAGTCATAGAAGTGGATGAAAAGAGAAAAAAAACAGCTGAAAGAAACTTAAGTAGCTTAATTCCATGTTAGGTAATAAAGATGAAGTTTCTGAAGTTTCTATTGTACTCAGCAATACATTAGTTAAAAATTATTGTAAACCAAATTAGAACCAAGAAGAGAAAAAAACTTCCATACTATCAAAAAATTGTCATACATACTAATGATGGTTTGAAAGAACAAATATTTCAAAAGTCTAAAGTCATTTAGTGATAATGCGTCTTGTTTAACTTTAAATTACTCCAGTAACAATGATATATATATATATATATATATATATATATATATATATATATATATATATATATATATATATATATATATATATATATATATATATATATATATATATATATATATATATATTATATATATATATATATATATATATAGAGCTTTTTTTGCATTATATAGTGAGTCTCTTTTGCATAAAGCCATTAGTTTGAATGACTTTAGTGGGCCTCATTTGCATCAATATAACTAAGTTTTTTATTGTTTTGTTTTTTTATTTAAATCAATTCAAATCAAAGCTTTTGAGTAAGATCTGCAACTCCCTTTTTTTTTAAATAATATTCACATGCTTTTTAATTCGCTTTAATTTAATGTTTATTATTTGTATTTAGAATTACTTTTATAAATTTTGTTAATTTTTTGTATTAATTGTTAAGTATTTTAATTTAATGGTCAGAAGCAGCATATAACAAACAAAGAGTTTCAAAATAAATATACAAAACTAAAATATCATGGGGATTGATGGTTACTGTATTTTTTAAATTTCTAAATGTTTCCGATATAAATAACATAACTAAAAGTTTTCGGATTTATAATACTGTAGTTGATATCTTGTCTGTCCTAGGTGTCCTAGGTGTTTTTGATTTAAAGCGTTAAAGGAGGTTTACTTATTTTAAAAAAAAATGATTGAAAAGGAATACTCTATTTAAATTCATGTTCTGTTTTATCTTTGTAGGTATTCTGGTACATGGTGTAAAGAACATTTCATACATCCTAAAGCTATGAAAAAGGTTTACACTTTTTTTTTTTATACATATATTAACCCTTTCTCTCCCGGGATATTTTCCGCTATATTCCCAGAGTCAAAATTCCCGTTTCTGACTCAAACACTTTAAAAGCTTATAGTGACTAAAATAATGAGCAATTCTATGTGAAACTTGGCCCCTTTTTTACTAATACATTAATCTAACAAAATATGGAAAAAATATATATTTATGACACTTATAAGACGTCACACGACTCAAAAAACGGCCTTTGACATTAATCAAAATTTTGCTTTTTTGGAGTAAAATCCAAAAATAAACCAAAATATTACGTTATAAACAAATGAAACGTAAGTAAAAACAGTTTAGCAATCATTTTACTAGTTCATAGCAAAAAAATAAAAGGTTTAACACAAAAACTCTGGAAAAAGGAGAGATTCTAAAAATATAAGAATTTTGAAAAAAAACGTTATTTTTAAGTTAAATTTTTTATTATGTTTGTAGAATGAAAAAAAAAAAAAGAAAGATTAAGTCTGCCAATACAAACAAAACAAACTACAATAAATAATTAACTTGAGTGTGGTAAGCTTCAAAACAAGTGTCTGGGTGAAGCCCTGGTTCAGATGGGCAAAATCGACAAATATGTAGTTTTTAGTGGTTGACATTTAGCTGATAGTTTTCCTCTTGCATAGCACACTCTACATCTTTTGGTTGGTCTTTTATCTTTTGCATCTGGTGAGGCTACTTTGAGCGAAGGAAAATGTCTGCCAGTAAGACGAGATAATGTATCATCTAGTATTTGGTTGTTTGGTATAGCTGGATTGATTAGTGCTAAAGATGAAATAGTTTCATGCAAAAAATCAAGGAATGTTATTTTAGATTTTCCAGTTTCGTGTTGAAAAACTTTATGTGCATTTAGTATCACCTGTGAAATCATTCTAAAAGCTAATTTTTTGTACCACTTATAACTTTTACGCAATGTTCGTAAACTATGTAAACCATCAATAGTGGGATCATATAACAGTCCCATGTGACTGTTATATGATCCCACTATTGATGGTTTGTATATTGCAGAGTCATTTGCATAGGTTTTACCAGTTTCAATCATTTTTGCTGAATGGCAAGTTGACAACATATATACAACCTTCTGTTTATTTCCTGATTTATTTTTGACAGCTCGATATTTACATGCAATAACACGTGAATCAATTGTGGATCGATAGAACACAGCCTCCCCTTTTTCTAACGCAAACTCCGCAATTTCTTTACAGTACTTTTTTCTATTTGATTTAACTGTCCCACAAAGGTGTGTATTTCTTCCTAAAAGAAAAGTTGCTAATGAAGGGCTTGTGTAGTAGTTATCTGTAAACAGTATATGTCCTTTATCTAAAAAAGGTTCCATAAGTGCAGCTGGTATTCTCTCAGTGCTGGGCATATCCTCATTTCCGTCTTCATAAAACATACCTTTACCACAATACACCAAAAAATCTAGTGTTATTCCACTTGATGTGGTCAATTCATATAGTTTTATGCCAAATCGTGCTCTTTTTGTACGAATATATTGCTTAAAATGCAACCGTCCCTTAAAAAGAACAAGTGATTCGTCAACACTAAGATTTTGTCCAGGGCAGAATACATTTTTACATCGGTCTCTAATTAGTTCAATTAATGGTCATATTTTGTGTAATCGATCACGGTTTTCGTCATTTACATCATAATTTGGATCATTATTATTGTTGAAGTGTAAAAACTTCAAAATCAGTTGAAAACGAGTGCGTGACATAATTTTTGAGAATATTGGAGTGCTAAAAAATTCAGATGTAGACCAATACATATGAATATCAGGTTTATAAATAATTCCCATAAGCAAAACAAGAGCAAGATACTTCTTTATTTCTAAAACAGTCACCGGTTCCCAATTTCCTACATACTCGTTACTTGCTTTATTCGGGTTCTTATCTATAAAATCTTGAGCATATCGATTTGTTTCAATTACAATAAGTTCAATAATACTAGGTGTTAGATATAGTTCAACAAAATCTAAAGGAGAAGGATTTTCATGCGTCATTCTTACTCTAAGTCCCTCTAGTTCAAAAAAAGGTATAATTGGATCTGCAGTATTATCAATTTTAACACGTTCCCATGTTGATATTAAATCGATTCCCTGTTGATTAATTTTTAAAACTCTAGCATTGGATTGTCCTCTTCTACCCCATCGACTTCCTCTACAACCTCGATTGTTATTCCCTTTTTTTTCTTTACCTCTGTTAGTAACTTGAAGTATTCGATTTTTATTATTGACACTGTTTTTTTGAATACCACCGCGAACTTTTACTCTTTTTCGTTCTGCTATACCATTTTCTCTAATGGAATCAAATAATTGATCAGAGAATAGGGTCTCCTTCTTCTTATTAGGGTATGTTTCCTCACTACTATTTTGCTCAATTTCTTCTTCCTCCTCCTCATCGATATCGATTTTATAAACATGATTTATTTGACAAAATTCTGGTAAAGAAGAACAGTTTTTATTCTGAAAATCATTAGATAAAGGTGAATTAGGAGCTCGCACAAACTTTATATCTTCCTCTTCGTATTCCCAATCTGTTTCAGGTTCGCTTTGATCGGCTGATAATTCACCAAGGTCCATATCATCGCTGCTTTCATCCATAACTATTTTTAAAATTTCTTCCATATTTGAATAAGTTCTTTTGTAACTAGCCATTTTTAAAAATGCTATATCTTTTCAACTAAGATAAATTTTGACAAACGGTTTTCAGCCTATGATGTAATAACTATTCTATTTTCCATATCTGTAAAGAACACAACAAAAAACGCTATAAAACCGTGTTTAAATCGTAGAAGTTGAAATGACCCGCACAGCGGATCACAGGGAAAATCGTGATATTAGTTACGACCCGCTGTGCGGGTCTCAGGGAGTGAAAGGGTTAACAAATACATATATAAAATAAATGCATATATAGAGTTTTATTAAGAGTTTCAGTTAAAAATGTCAGTGTAATTGTCTCAATTAGGACTATACTGGCTTATTTTATTTATTTATTTATTTAGAATGTTGACTTGCTTTTTGATATTTATAAGACTATAATATATGTATATATATATATATATATATATATATATATATATATATATATATATATATATATATATATATATAAACTTTTTTTGTTTTTATTGTATTGGCTTTGTTTTCTTATTTTATAAATATAATAATATATAGAAAAAACTGGGTTCAAAGTAAACAATTTAGCTTCAGATTCAGTTATTTTTTTAATTATCGTGTAATTAATTTTTTACACTATATAATATACTCTCTCTCTCTCTCTTTATATATATATATATATATATATATATATATATATATATATATATATATATATATATATATATATATATATATATATATATATATATATATATATATATATCCATATATATATATATATATCCATATATATATATATATATATCCATATATATATATCCATATGTATATCCATACATATTTACATACATACATACATATAAATGTATATATATATATATATATATATATATATATATATATATATATATATATATATATATATGTATATATATATGTATATATATATATATATATATATATATATATGTATATATATATATATGTATATATATATATGTATATATATATATATGTATATATATATATATATATATATATATATATATATATATATATATATATATATGATATATATATATATATATATATATATATATATATATATATACAAATATATATAAAAAAGTAAAGATAAAAATTTCTAGGTTCGTGAAGTACGCTCCCAGTTAAAAGACATTATGAAAACTTTAAAAATGACAATTAGTTCATGTGCTTTCAACCACGATTTAGTGCGTAAGACTATTTGTTCAGCATATTTCCATCAATCTGCAAGGCTGAAGGTTTGTTTAAAAAAAAATCTTTTTATTTTAATCAGCAAAACATCATGGGGGAAAATGCAAATACATGTAACTAGCATTGGATAATACCGCGCATCTGCACTACAGATAGTTTTACAGGATGTTAGAACTTTATATTTTTTGAGAGTTTTACTCATGTTCTTTGTAATGTCAACAGTAGATATTAGGTGCAGGGATTATCTTTTTCCGGATATTTCTAGAATTCCGGATATTTTTTTCAACTTTTAGTTTTTCCGGATAATCAAAGCATTTTCAATACATACAAGTTAAGGTATATATTTTTTTAGTATATTTGTTTTTTAAGCTTTTTCACTAATCATCACTCATAGAAAAATTATAAAAAGTGTCTAAAAAAATTAAAAAACAACTTAGCTAAAAGCGAAATTAAAAAGAAAATAAGGGAAAACAAATTCCGAAATTTTTCCGGATATTTTATTTGGAATATTTTCTGGATTTTTAAAATATGACTAGGATGATCTGTGATTAAGTGTTTAAGTTATTAATTTATATGTTCAATAATAATTGGCTACATTAGTCATATACACTGTATCCAATGCTAATTACGTGGATTTGCACTATTCTCGACAATGTATGTTTTGTAAAAACAATTTATGTTTTGTGTATTTCAAACTTAAATATTTTTATTTAAAAAAAATCATCAAAACATTAATTTTGTAAAACATAAAATAAAAAAATAAAATAAAAATAATACTAAATACAAGTAATTAATAAAATAATTTAACAATTTTTATAATGAATCAATTCGATATTAAGTTGTTGATATTATATTAAATTATAAAAAAATCATATAACTTATAAATATTAAAATCCAAAAAATAAAGAAAAACATATAAAACTTTTATATTTTAAAGATGACCTTTCATAGAAACAATCGATTTTTAAATTAGCATCCACTTAGTTTGCTTCTTCATTTTTTTACTCCTGATTCCATTTTCTACCTCTTCAAGTATTTTATTAATCCCTTTATATAATACTGTTATCATATTTGGGTTGGTTTTTCTAATGATGCTCTTTCTATTCTAGACAAGGTCCAAAGACACATTGGTAATTTAGTTGAACCCACTTTATCTGCTAATCATGAGCCTCTTTCCCATCCTCATAAAGTTACATCTCTTTCTCTTTTCTACAAATACTATCATGGTTGCTGCTCAAAGGAGTTATCATCTCTAGTTCCATCAACTCAAGTTCATTCTCGTTCTCGATTGATCAGCTCAAGTCTCACTCTTAAAACTTTTATTCTTCTGGTTTTTTTCCTTGGACTTCAACCCTTTAGAACTGTCTTCCTTCTTCATGTTTTCCTGGTTCATGCAACTTCAACTTTTTAAGTCTTGTGCCAACTGTTTTCTTGCTCTATAACTCTATTTTTTTTTCCTAGTCATTCTCAACTTAATAGCGGTTTCTTGCAGCCTTGTTGGAAAGTAAAACTAAAAAAAAAAGAAAAAAAGATGATTCTTTATTGACTTTTTGCTAAATATCGAAATTTTAAATGTATAATGCAACTGAGTTTTAATGCACTTCTTAAGTGCTTCAAAAATTTTTTGTCTAGTTTTTTTGGAACTTGCTCCTTTTATCTTGTTTTCCTGATTCATATAATTTGTAATCTTTAATGTATATTTATATATATATATACACGTGCATATATATATATATATATATATATATATATATATATATATATACACGTGTGTATATATATATATATATATATATATATATATATATATATATATATATATATATATATACATGTGCAGCTGAGTACTGGGCTATACAAAAAATCTAATTATTTAAGAAAAAGGTATTGTTTGGCACATGTTTATTATAAGTAATTTCAAATGAATATAATATATATAAGTATATTCAAATGAATAAAAAAGAGCAACTTCTATGTTTATTTATATTTATAGACAAGTTGTTATGGTTGTTAAATTGTGAAATGATTGTAATTTAAACATGTTGAACAAACTCCAATCAGACATCTTAAATCTATAATGCAAAATTTTAATATTTCAAGTGTTTTCTAAAATTTGTATTTTCTCTTTTTTTTTTTTGCTATTATTTTCTTAAAGCCTGGTGTACCATGTGTACATGTACTGTGTGTATACCATATACTGTTATTGCATATTTTAATTAAATTTTTAAATCTGTTTGCACAGGTTGGCAGGTATACATTAACAATAAAAGAAATAAAGAAACGTTTTATTTTTAAAATGTAAATTTAAGCATTTTGCACACTTTTATACAAACACGCTACCTTAAGATAAATATTACATTTTACCAGAAATAATATTTTTTATCTTTTAAAGGCTTACTATCTTGAAATAGATATTTTACACATTTGAGGAATAATATTTTTGTTTTTGAATTTCTTTAATTGAGCTGATAAACTAACACTACAGTAGAATACAGTTTTTATTTCTTATAAATATCATTTAGGGTATAGGAGAATATGCAAATTTACGTAATGGAATGCCCTGTAATTTGCATCCGAGCAGTGCTTTGTATGGAATGGGTTATTCACCTGATTATGTTGTGTACCATGAACTTATTATGACGTCTAGGGTAATTACATATTGTTTTTGATTTGAAATAAATTAAGTTTTGTGTTGTAACCAAGGCTTCAAGACTTCACTAAGGTCCATGATAAAGATATTTTAAATTGTTTGGTGTTTATAATTAGGTTCTCTTTTTTTTTAAAGTTTATGATAGACTACAATTACAAAAATTAACTATAATTGGCTAAAGATGAATAAACAGTTTTGCTCTTTTTTCCTAATTATTAGATCTTTTACTAATTTGAATCTTTAATTCTTTTTTTTTTAAGTAGCTTTTATTAAAACGCTTACTGCACTATTTACAATTAAACTTTTAAATGTTTTTACACTTTCATTCAATAATTAATCAAAGGCATATAAAAAAATTATTATAGATTTTTTTTATATTTTGCAGTGTTGTTAATTTTTATCATTTAGTTTCAATTGCCTCTGGAAACATAATTGATTTAATATAGTTAGTTTCCTATGAGTTTTAATTTTATTCAAATATTAAGGTTCAGCAGAGTTAAATGATTTCATTTGAAAATCGTAACTTAAAATACATTCATAAGCAACTATCTGTAAGCACCCTGTACGGTTGCTTATTGGTAGTTGCTTATAAATTCTATACAGGTTATTAGTAAATAAATCGTTAATATCAATCAGGGATTATTTTTTTTTTGGATACTTCCGGAATTCCGGATATTTTTCTCAACTTTTAGTTTTTTCGGATATCCAAAATGTTTTCCATACATACAAGTTTGTGTACATATTTTTATAATTTATTTGTTTTTTTTTTAACTTTTTTACTCATTCATACAAAAATTAGTAAAAAAAAAAATTGAAAACATATGTTCCAGATTTTTTCTGAATATTTTATGCAAACAATTTTTAAATTATGACCTGGATAATCTATGATATCAATTTAACTTGATATATAATCTGAAAAATTAAATAAAATACAAATTTATCTGTATATAATCTTTTTAGTTATGCTTGCTTTTATTTATATCTTGGCTTTTTTTTGACAACACAAAAAGACCACATATCTTAAGTTATTTAACTTAAGTTATTTGGTTCTTTTTAAAATCAGTTACAACTTTTTCTTCCAGATATTAGCATAGAAACCTGCTAATATCTGGAAGAAAAGAAAAAAGAAATAAAACAAAGTTATCATTTTAAATTACTTTAATATTAATTGACTTTTGGAAAATTAAGGATAAAAAAGAAATAAAAATAGTTGGCTAATATAACAGCAAAGCATTACACACACTGCACTCATATTTAGCTTGTTTAATGCCCTAGCTCTTCACAACATTTGAAGTAGACTAAATTTTTAGCATTATAATCAAATAATTTGACCATTTATTCTGCAATCATTAGTTATTAATATTTAAAAAAAAATTTAAATTCTTTTTAAAAATCGTAAAAACAACTGGGATTCTTGAATAATTAATTAGTAAGCGACTTGTAAAATATTTATTATACATAGTCATAATCAGTTATGATACCAAGAAATATATAAGAGCTTAGTAACAACTTAGCAATAATGCTCCCTTTTAATAATAAATCTTGATTAAAGAGAGGCAGTGTTTCTATGGCAGTGTGTTAAAAAAAGTTTACACAAAAGATATACAAAAAAATCATTATGAGCATTACTCAAGTTATTATTGTTAATGACGATGACAAAAACAATATTGTAGCACAAAGTAGCACAATTAAGCATTAAAATTGGCTTCGTAATGTTACCACTAAACACAATTATTTTTACCTTAATTATTTAGAATTTTAGTTTTTTCATAACTGTTAACTAATGATTAACACATGTCACATCATGTAAATTTTCTATAGTTAAAACCATGTTTCAACAGTTTCCAAATTAATAAAATAATGACAACTAAAAAAAAAGACTACAATGATGTTTGAATTTATAAAAAAATATATAAATTATTCAATTTTAGGATAATTATAATCAGTTGCAAAAATTTAACAAAATTTGATTTGTAAAAGTAATAAAGTGACTAATATTAAAAATTAAAATATATATAGCAAACTTGTTAATTAAAATATATATAACAAACTTGTTAATAATCTAAAAAGCAGTCATAAAAACTAATAATAAAAAAGTTATTATAATAATCTTTAACTCATCAGTCGTGATATCGTAGAATATCATCAGTCGTGATATCGTAGAATATCATCAGTCGTGATATCGTAGAATATCATCAGTCGTGATATCGTAGAATATCATCAGTCGTGATATCGTAGAATATCATCAGTCGTGATATCGTAGAATATCATCAGTCGTGATATCGTAGAATATCATCAGTCGTGATATCGTAGAATATCATCAGTCGTGATATCGTAGAATATCATCAGTCGTGATATCGTAGAATATCATCAGTCGTGATATCGTAGAATATCATCAGTCGTGATATCGTAGAATATCATCAGTCGTGATATCGTAGAATATCATCAGTCGTGATATCGTAGAATATCATCAGTCGTGATATCGTAGAATATCATCAGTCGTGATATCGTAGAATATCATCAGTCGTGATATCGTAGAATATCATCAGTCGTGATATCGTAGAATATCATCAGTCGTGATATCGTAGAATATCATCAGTCGTGATATCGTAGAATATCATCAGTCGTGATATCGTAGAATATCAGAAAATAATGAGAAATAAAGAGAAGAGTATAATATAAATTAGAAATACGTAAAGTTGTACTTCAATTAAAATATAAAAAATGGCACCTATTTGATGGGTTTAAGAAATTAAAAATAGTAACTTTGAGTTTAATAAAAATAAATATGATATATAACTTAATTCTTATTTATATTTTGATAGTAATTATAGTAAGATTCATATTAGTCTTAGTTCCAAATTGTATTAAGTAAAATATTGTGTTAAATAAAAAATAATTAACAGAAGTTAAGACTGCCTGGCACTAAAAGGTGCTCAGTAATATTGCAATTTAGTAAAATTGTTTGAGTTGCAAGGAAAACAATCTTTCTCTACATACTGCAAAGAAATACCACTTTTAAAACATAGAAAAAATAGAATATAAACTTTTGAATATTATACTTTATAAACACATTTTATAAATTATAAGCAATTATTATATTACACATGTAAGCATACTTATGAAAAACTATAAAATTATAACATTTGAAAATACATTTACGTATTTTTTCAGTTATCTTACGTCACTATATTGGGTTGCAGGCAAAATTAATAAAAAGATCTGGTAACCATATTGTTTAATTATAGTCGTAGTATCATACCACTGCTTTCTCAGTTTGTTTTAGTTATTTTTGATAAAGGCAAGACACTGCTTTTTACTTTTATCAGCTTATTGCTGAAATAAATTTCTATACATTTATTTATCTATTTTTTTATTTTGTAAAACTATTTAAAAGGATAAAAAAAGCAACGCAAATTGTCTTTTTTAAAATGATACACTAAAACCAAAAATCAAATGCAGTTACTTTAGAATATATATGATATATAAACCTCTACAATTTAACTCATTTGTTTAACAACTGGTTCAAGATTAAGGTCAATACTTGAAAAAAATTATTAAATAAACATTTTAACTAATTTATTTAAAACTTTCAAAATAATGATACTTAAAATAACAAATTGTTATATTTTGATTTAAGATTTATTAAAATCCATATCTTTTTATAAGTTTATTTAGGTAACTGTATATAGAAGTTATAAATTAGTATTGCAAAAAAAATAAATACAAACTGATTATGAAATAAACATAAAATGAAATATAAAACGAGATTTAATAACATCAATTACGTTTAATTTAACAAAGAATGTACTACAATGCATAATCTTGTGTAAAAAATGAAGCAATATCAGTATATTTTGCTTTAATTTGGGAAACAAACTAATTCATCAATGTTTGGCATTGACGGATCCAGCATTTTTTGGTGTTTGAGATAGCTAACTTCTAGACATGGAGCAAACTCCAAATATTTGTATGTTTATACTTATGTCAAATAATGATGTTTTGCAAAAAATTTGGATGATTGGAGGCTGGGAACAAAAAAGCCCTAAAATTTCATCACCACCCCAACCCTCCTACTTTAAATGTGAGTTTAAAGTAGGGAGGGTTGGGTGTAAACTTTAAAGTTTTTGTACTATTCTCAACTAGACTTATATTCCTCCATAAATTTTAAGTTTCATTCAAAATATCAATTCTTTACGTGAGCCGACCATAGAAGATGCACCGTCTATGCATACTTTAACTAATTTTGACCATGGCTAGCCAAAACTTGTGAGTATTGATTCCACAGTATCAGTGAACTCTTTATCAGCACTTTGAATAAATATTATTAGTTGAGCTGTGTCGTAAAAATCGGTGCCTTCGTCTAATGCTATGGAAAATGACTCAAAACCAGCCATACGGTCAGTCTATTTTGTTTTTATGTTATTAGCCATCGTTTCTATACGTCGGACAACAATTCGTTTTGACAAACTAATTTTTTCAAACTCATTTTTTCCAGGATGCAAACACTGCAAACTTCTAACATACACTCCTTAATAAATTTTTTTTCAGCAAATGGCTTTGCGAATTTTAAGCTATATAACTAACCTTCATAACATTAAGTTATGTTCTTAGTTTAACCCTGTTTGTTTTCTGCTGTTTTTTCAAATTTGCGGTAAGCTTCTGGATTTTGTCTTTTCTTATTTGTGAGAGAAGCATAAAATGCTTAGTTGAGTAATGCCTCTTTATATTGAATTCTTTCATCGCTGAAATGAATTCACTATAGTAGGCCTATATAATTCATAGGCCTACCATTATGAAAGAAAAAAAAAGAATTCTTCAATCCAATTTTCTTGAAACTGGCAATCCTCTCTATCTACTTTTCATTTTTTTCACCACCATCAGATGTTCACCAGACATCATTTTTGTTTACTTTTCGTTCGATAAACTTAACTCTTTTCCTACCAGTTGTTTTAACAAAATTCTCACAGTGACCGCACATTTTTTTACTGTTAATTTGAATGACATGACATTGCAAACAAAATGAAATTCGAATAGTAAATTCTTTAAAAGCATAATAAACTATAAATTAATAGAAAGCTAAACAAATGAACTTATTAATTATTTAAGTTTTTAACACGTTTTATTTAATAACAAGAAATGCGAAGTGTTTAAAACCATTGTTTTTATAAATAGCAACTAAACATTAACATTAATTCCGACCTCAAGAAGCACACGATTATTTAATTAGGTTTTTCAAAACGTCTCGCGGGTTGGATCAAATCTCACAGCGGGCCGGATGTTACCTACATCTGCTTTAAACTAAGAAACATAGAGAAACATAATCGATCTTTTTTGGCTACTTCCAGCAAAAAAAATTTATTTTATATATTCCTTATTATTTTTTCTATAAGAAAATTTATATAGATACGAAGAAATATAAAGTATACTGAAATATACGCAGAATTGTGTATATAAACTTGTCAGCAAATAAAAGCCTCATTTAGTTTTTTATGTTGAATACATAAAAATTCAAACTTCAAATTTCAAAACTGAATTGTAAACTTACTCAAACCGGAATCAGTTTGACTGACGAAAATTTATTCTTATTAACCTTTCTAATAACTAAAAAAAAAAATGAAGTCAATTGTAGTAATAAAACTTGAGTGCTTTTTAATTACTTTTTTTAAATTACTTTAAAAAATAAAACTTACTTAAAATGTTCTAAAAAAGCCTAAAGACAAAACTGAATCAAAAAGAAACACTGTACTAAAAAAACTATTTTACCGGTTATTTTAGTACTAACTTTTTTATAAAAAAAAAGAATTTAAATAGATTAATAAAACTAGAAAAAAAGATTAATAAAACTAGAAAAAAAAACAACAACCAACAACAACAAATCTTTATTTATTAAAACTAATTTTTATTGTAAAATTAAACAGAGAACAACAGCAATTCACCTTAAAAGCTAAAACAAATTAATCGGCTTAAATTTGCTTGAAAACTAAAACAAAGTCAATGATATTGGATTTAATCTAGATTAATGAATTTAAAAAAAAAACTTACTGCTTTCAAATCTACAAAAATTAACAACTAAGTTCTATCTATTTGTCTAAAAAAACAAAAATTGAGTTAGCCATAACAAAAACAAAACAAAAATAATTTTTTTAATTCTTTGTGATTTTTTTTTTTTTTAGTTATCTGTTAACTCTTGTACTTATATGAAATTGCAAATACAACAATAGCTGTTAGTGAATTGATCAATATATATGGAATTCCAACTTAAAAATAATTATTGATAAAACTTACTCAAATCACTGTCAGTTTTACCTGTTAAAAAAAATTTTATTCTCGTTAATCCTTTTAATTTTAAGCAAAACAAAAAATAATCTGTAAACAATAAAATGAATTGAACTAAGGGCTTCAGCTCCTTCCAATTTATTTTGAAAAATAAAGTAAAACTTGCCTAAAATGTTCTGAAAAAGACTTTTAAAAAATGTAAAAAAAAACTGAGTCGAAAATTTACAATGTTTTTAAAAATACGATAACTTCTTCTAAAGAATCTTAACAAATTAAAAAACCTTTATTCACTAAAACTGTCATTTTTATTGTTAAATTAAACAAAGATAACAATTCTCCTTGAAAGTTAAGAAAAACTTATCAGCCTAATTTGCTTGCAGACCTTGCTTGAAAAACTGCGCGAACTTCCAGATAAGCCTAGTAACAACATAAAAATGAAGTAAGACGAAGGTAAACGTTAACTGGAGGATTATTATTTAGGTGGTGACTGAAGCGGTAACATTGTTAAAGATGTTAATTTTATTGAAATAAAAAAAATTCGTTAGTCAGAAAGGAGTTGGTAACAGATTACAAGCTTTTAAAAAATGATTCCAAGACACTGCGCTCGTGTACAACTCGCTCATATATAATTGGCATAATAGAATTATTTTGTTGTTGTGATGTTTATAAATATTGCTTATATTTTCATAATAAGCCTTACATTTTAGTACAATGTTCTACTGACAGTACATTATATTATAGTATAAAGTTCTACTGATAGTACATTACAGAGCTCAATTTAACGGTCGGACATCGCCGTCCCTCGAACCATTCTTGAGACCTGCTAGAGGAAGGCAACAAATCGTTTTTGATTTTTTCATTAAAAATGAACAATAGTAAATTGCCCCCATAAATCAGATCTTAAAAACAGTTCGGGGGGCGGCGATGTCTAACCGTTAAATTGAGCCCTCCATTATATTATAGTGTAAATAACATACATTATATTATAGTATAAAGTTCTACGGTTTTACTGAGAGTAAAAACTAATGTATGTTTTAACCAAGATCTGCCCAGGTTAAGCTTATTTGTTTTAATGTTGTTAGTATAAATTATCGAAGGACTTACTTTAACTAAAGATATTTTTGCTTAAAAATATGGGGCAAAATAAATTCTCAAAAAATTATTATTTATGAGTGTATTGTAAAAAAAACTTAACTCATAGAATAAGGCATACCACATTCTGTAAGTGTAGTATTTTTATATGGTATACCACGTGAATTTTAATTTATTTTACAATGCACTCTTAAGTAATGATCTTTGTATAATTTATTTGATAAAATAAATTCGGCAAAAATCTTTTGAGCAAGAATATGTTCAACTAAGGAAGATTTAAAAAATTTTTAACCAAGTGTCATAGAGCTAAAACTCAAAATATAAATTAAAGTTTAAACAAAACGATTTGAAAACACAGTTTATTGCTAAGAAATTTTGTTAAAAAGCTTCTACAAGTTTTTTTTTTTTTTAAAAAAAAAAGTCATCTATTATTAGAAGCCGTTTTTGTATAATTTACTTACGCTTTAAAAATATTTAATTGCATTTCTCCAAGGGATTTACACAATGTAAGATTTGACTATGGTTTCAAACTATGACAAATCATAGTCTAAATGCTATAGATTTAAGGTATTAATTTTACAAAACACATGACGTGGGCATGAAAGTTATTTTTAATAAACTCACACGTTTTTATAGCGTGACTGGTTCTTAGCGTTATTAGTGTAAATTTAGTGCGTAATAAAAAATACTATGAATAATATTATCGTGCACGTCAGTGACAGTTAATTCCTATATTTTTATTTAATTTGTAGTATTTCATTGTTTACTTATTTGTTTTGTTGTTCTGCTTGTTTTCTGTATCAAAACAAATAATAAAAAAAAAAACAACTTCTACTAAGCATCAATTAAAAATTCACAGTTATAATATATATACAATATTTATAAATAAGTCATTAAATTTATCATCATTATTAATACATATTTAAAAAATTTTTTAATTTATATTTTCAATTTACATGAAAAGTAAAAATTTACTAAATTAAATATTTTTTGAAAGATCTATTGTGGATCTTTACCATTTAAAACAGCTATGTAACCTTTGCCTTTAATTACCCCTCTACATTTAACCACGACAGCGTAACGAACCACGTACTCTGTTGAGTATTGCCGTTTATCAGCGGGTTGAATTGTATGGATTAATTGATCCAATGTTTCTTCCGGCAACATCACTGATTGGTCTCCATGTGTATGCAACACTACGTTGGCTTCTATAAAAGAAAGTTTTTGTAAATGCAAAAGAAGATGTGGCTTTAACGCTCTAGCACATGAAAAAAAAAAAAAAAAAAATTCGTATTATACATTTTTAAAAGCAAAAGTTTAAGAAATTTATTTCATTTTTGATTACTTACCTTTAGCATAAGCCACCAGATCTTCAGGCATGTGGCAACATGATGTTAAATTGACCTGATTTACTTCTGGTTTAATCCTAACCATGCGGATAAGTGATTCGAGCTTCTCTTTGTCGAGATCACATGAGGAAATCTGAGTAGAGATTCCTGCATCTCTTAAGCGTTCCATTTCTTCCCAAAAGGGAAGAATGGCTTCATTAAAAGGCGTACTTTCATCAATCGGAGGTAGGGCTAGATACAAACTATCTAAATGACTAACACCGAGCTGCATCAGAGTAATGTTGACGGCTTCTCTTAAAGCATCAACTTTAAGCGTATGCAAAAATACCTTGGCAGTAACTTTAAGCAAACCTCTTTCGTTGATATCCATTTTTTCTGCATTTGAACAATTAACGTAGATCTAAATTTTAAAATTTTAAATCATTTTAAAAATCGATTTCAATCAGAAGAATTAAAACATTTTATTGAAAAAGTTGTTCTATTTTACTTTTATTAAAGTATTTATTCAAAAAGTTCATTCATATTCAAAGTATTTTCATATTATACATTGTTTTTCTTTTTTCAAATGTGGCCTTTTTTCCAAAATAAAAGTCAAAGTCACTTCTTTAAATGTGGCCTTACTTCCAAAATAAAAGTCAAAGTACTTAAATATCCTCGTGGTTTTGAATCGTTTATATAGTTCATAGTCCATACTTTAAGTTGACATTTTTACGTTTATTATAAAATTATATTATTTAGTAAACTGAACTCAGACTTTTTTTTTTTTTTAATGAATATAAATAAGACTTTTTTAATAAATAAGAACAGCGTTTAGTAAAATCATGTTTAAATTTTTTTAAGTTTTTTTAAATAAGATCTTACCTCTCCTTGGCCTAGAGGCCCACTTACTTCAGACCATTTTCCAAAAACGCGCAATAAACTTTGATATAATTCATTAGCGGGTATGTCGTTTGTTCGTCTTGTTTTTAAGTTATTCCAGTTTGCTATGTTTCCTGTGTGTGCGTAAATTTTACAATCGCCTTCCATATTACTGCTTCTAAGAAATTCACTTGTGTTCAAAGCGATTTGAGTCATTTTGTCAATACAGCTGAGCTCTAGATTTTAAAAAGAAATGAATATTTTCTAACGTGTTTTATAAACCTTTTTTATTTGTGGAGGTGTTTTAGCCAGTGGGTAGAAAAACACCTAAAGTTTCGTTATAAATTTAACGCAAGTTGAACAAATATAGCCTACGCTTTGTTTAAACTCGTAGTTGTTCAAACTTTTTCTAATCGCGCCTTTTTTATTATCCAGTATTACTTTCCATTGTTAAAACTAATAACAATAAAAAAAAAGGCATCTATCTTTAATAGTTACGTAAAATAAAATTTTAAGAAGATTTTTTCAATTTGCAGTACAAAGTAGTAGATTCGTAAAAATGAAACTCGTACCTTGAAGTTTTTGCTTGCGATACAACTTTCGAATTGCGTGCTCTGATTTTTTCTTCTTTTTTGCAATCCTATCTTTTTGACAAATATATATTCATTTAGATTGTTTGGCCTGGTTTTTATTGATACTATAAATCATAATGTTTTAATGTGCCTAGTTTCGATATGCACAGAAAGTTTTGCTACACTAGACGTCATATTAAAAAAATATTTGTTCGGAAATATTTATTTTTAGCAGTTATTTAAAGTTTCTTTAATTAGTTACATACATAATATAATTAAATATTTTTATATTATTTAGATTTTTTTTTAAATAAATTACTACAAAATAATACGTACACGAAAATTTCTACTACTTATCTAGAATATTAAAAGTTAAATTTGGTAAAAACACGCTTTAATAATAATTGCTATAATAATTTTTAAGTATTTTTACGTGATCAATTTTAAAATGTTTAAAAACATAAATGTCGTTTTAAAAATGTTTTTTAAGTTTTTTAAAACAATTTTCTAATTATATAAAATTTCTAACTATAAATATGTAACGAATTTAAGTAAACAAATCTAAGCGATTGAAACACCTTTCTATATAAAAGAAATACAGAAAGTGTTTAGATAATACGCTTGACCTATCGTTACTGATAATTTATTTTTTTGTTTGGTAATAATTTTAATTGTTTGTTTATTATTTCAAAATTGATTTTTTATTACAATTTTTTTTTTAATTTCTTGCGTAATTAAAAAAGTAGAGATTGTAGAAACCGCTCTTGCTGGACGTTTGAGGTAATTAAAATTCTTGAATGAAAGCTTTGCGCACGTATATCTTATTCCGGACTTTCGATATCTAACTTCGCTAAAATATTTACGAAACGTTAACAACAAAAGTTCATTTTTTATTCATCACAGAAGCTTAACAATATCATTGATTTTTTACCCAGTTTTCATAATTCATTAATAAAGCAATCTCCGATGTAAATTTGTTAAGCTCCAGTTAATTCCTAGTAACTAAGTTGCTTGTATACAATAGAATTCTTTGAATATATCTACGTCTTAAACTATTTATTAATTGTGATTATTTTTTTGAATTGCTTGCATATTTTCAAAGTTTCGCTTTCTGTTTACTTTTTAATGTCATTAGCGACATTAAAAAGTAAACAGAAAAATTGTAGCGCCTATTTATTTGTTTGTTACCATTAAGTCATTTCTTAGTGATCGTGTAATTTTTTAATTTCGCAAAGAAAAAGATGAAAATTTAAAAACTTTATTTAATCTAACAATATAATACAACTTGATGCTAAGTATCATATTTTGAAATACAAAAAATTTCTTTCTAAACTGCTAAAAAAATCTTTTTAAAAAATCTTTTTAAATTGCTAAAGATCACGATTTGTTCACGTTACCTTTTTTGGCACGTTTCTTTCACGTTCGCATTAATTTCATGAACATTTGGCGTGATGATTAATGTTTACATAATGATAGTGGAATGTTGTAGCTAGCGTATGTATTAATGAGTATTATTTGTTTTCTATTATCAAATATCCGAATTTTATTTGTTACTTTATTTAATTTACCTCAAATAATTTAATACACTCATTTCGAGCATAAACTTTTATCACCACACACCGGGGTTAAGGTTCGAATTGAGAAAGTTTTTTAACATATGTACACACACACACACACACACACACACACACACACACACACACACACACACATATATATATATATATATATATACATATATATATATATATATATATATATATATATATATATATATATATATATATATATATATATATATATATATATATATATATATATATATATATATATATATATATATATATATATATATATATATATATATATATATATATATATATATATATATATATATAGTTTAGCTGTAGTAGCCCCACGGTCTTAAGGAGGCGGATGTGCAAAAAAATAAGCAAATAAGACAAAAAATTCGTATCCTTCTAAAAATCATAAAAAGCTAAAAATATAACGTCCCTAAAAGTAATAGTATCGTATTATGGGTTTGAAAAATGACAATTAATTACTTTTGCTTGCAGTAATTATGGTTTTTGTTGTTTATTTTATACATTTGCGTGTGTGTGTGTGCGTGTTAATAAGAAAAATGTTTTTTTCTCTTTTTATAGGAATTTATGCAATGTGTTACAGCAGTAGACGGCGAATGGTTGGCAGAATTAGGTCCCATGTTTTTTTCAATAAAAGAATCAGGACTATCTAGAACAGTAAGTAAGAAATTGTGTCGTAGTCATTATTTTTTATATTTTTTTACTTTTTACGAAACCATATTTTGTTTAAAATAGGAAAAACGTCGCCAAGGAAACGAAGCAAAACGTAAAATGGAATTAGAAATGAAAGAAGCCAGTGACATAATTAAGGCAAGAAAAGAAGAAAAGTTATCGAAGCTAACACCTATAGCAAGGTTATTTATTATTCTGTATGATATTAATATGTTTTACAGCATGATACAGAAAAAATTATTTTCAGATACTGTAAAGTTTTTTTTTTTTTAATACGCCGAAAAATGTATTATTTAAAGTTTGCCCTTTTTATTCCTAGAACTCCTATTGCCACACCTGGCAGAAAAGATTCTACTCCAAAGAGGACACCAGCAAGATTTGGGTTATAGTTAGGATAATGTTCTCCTTTACTAAATCAACTTCAATCAGCTAAATCGACCATCAGCATGTTTTATTCTATGTCTTAAGAATAATTGCAGACGTACTAAAGCGTTTCAAAATTAGGCCTATGAAAGTATCCTCCTACAACTGGCCTTTATCCTCCTGAACTATATCAAAGTAATAAAAAACATCCTCTTGTATAATTATCATCCTCTTGTATAATTAATTAAGCTTATTGTATTGATTAATTATACTAACGTAAATTATTTCGTTTTATAACATTCGGACGTTGTATTGGTTATTCAGTAAAGAAGTGCTCCGTTTATAAAAAGTTCGTTAAATGTCTCTTATAACTAAATTTTATTATTTTTTGATTATTTCTTGCAAGATCATTTATTAATTATTTCAAAATAGCTCTATAGACAAATTTTACAATTTTTGTTTAAAAATAGACCGCTTCAGCGAATATCTGGACGCAACCAGAAACTTTTTATTTTAAGCAATTTTTTATAATTTTTTCTTACTAGCGATAGCAAAATATAGCTAATATTTTAAAACGTCGGTTTTTAATCAAATAACCAAGAAAAATTTAAAGATGAAGGTCTCCCGTTTACTTGGTTAGTGCGCTTTTTTTGCCTTTTTATGTTAAGTGAGCAGAAAAGTGCATAAGTATAAAGTGTAAATCTCAAAACTTCGCTTTAATAAACAAACAAAAAGTTATCTATTAGGTAACCTATCAAGCAAATAAATAAAAAAACGATAAGTCTTACTAAGTTATTACTAAGGTAGAAAAGGTTGCAGAAACCCTCATGAAAATAATTGTAGAATACCTCATAAAAATAGTTATAGAATCCCTCACAATCATAAAAAACATTTATAAATGTTTTTGTTTTTTTTACTATATATTTGTATACTTCAGTATATATAGATTCGAAGTAACTTGGTTACTTTTCCTAAAATTAAAATCTATTAGTTGCGCCCGCAAAAGAAACTTGCATTTTCAGTTTTTTTCTATATATACACCAAGAACCTTTACTTTTAAATGTGCTTCAATTGACAAATGTCATAAAAAAAAAACTTTTATAAACCATGTTGCAAATATTACAAAACAACATCGCTAAATAATAATAATAAAAGATCAAAGTTAGGTTTTAAAGCATTTTTATAGGTATTCGATTACTACTAAAAAATCATAAAAAAATTAACAAAAATTTTATTTTTTTAACGCAACTTTTTTAAAAAAGATGTTCTTGTATTTGTTAATACATATTTAATGTAAAAAGTACCAAAGTTGCTTAAACCAATACAAATCCGATACTGTAAGCAGATATTCTGACAAAACTAATAAATCACGCATACAAAAAAAAAGTAATCGCACGCGCAAAAGTAAGTAATCAAACACACAAAAATAAGTAACCATACACACAAAAATAAGTAATTACACGCAGAAAAATAAGTAATTACACACACAAAAATAAGTAATCACACGCCCAAAAATAAATAATCATACGCACATAATAAGTAATCACATACACACAAATAAGTAATCACGCGCACAAAAATAAGTATTTACACACACAAAAATAAGTAATCACACACACAAAAATAAATAATCATACGCACAAATATAAGTAATCACATACACACAAATAAATAATCAAACGCACAAAAATAAATAATCACACGCACAAAAATAAATAATCACACGCACAAAAATAAGTAATCACACGCACAAAAATAAGTAATCACACGCACAATTATATACTAAGACTAAGATTTTTCTCCTGAGTGTTTTTAATCCAGAATGATTTTATTTTAAATATGTTTGAGATCAATTACATAACTTTGCTGTTGAGATCAATTACATAACTCAGAAGTTTAGCCTCAATATACAGGATATACATTTGGCATATACAGGATATACATTTAGCCTCCATATACATTTGGCATGCATCAACTCAGTGGTTTGCTCACTGAAAACTTTCAGCCCAATTTCTTTTTTTTTTTTATTCTAATTCTTTAATGTGATACAAATGCGCTTTGGGAGTAACTAAAATCAACATAACGCAACGTTAAAATTATCTTGTTCTATCTCCACATTTTTAAGTTTCGAGATAAAACGATTTTTATAACTTATAAGCATTTTTATAACTTATGTTTTCTCAGCAACTTTTATAACTTATAACTTAGGTTTCAATACAATAAAAAAAAAAACATTACTCCGATGTACATAACGCTATCTCAGTTTTTTCATAAAATGGAGGTTGAACAAGATAATTCTAACGTCGCAATTAGGATTGCTTGCAATGCACAATTTTTTTTGGCAAGTCTCTGAACAATGTTAAAATTATTTAACAGTTTGTTTTCATTGAACTGTCCCCATTAATTTTCATACATTTTCGTTAAACTTTGTACCAAAAATTAATTCCAAGAAATTTAACGCTTACACTTTGCTAAATGCAATTACTGAACTTGGAAAGATTTAACTTTACTTGTTTGACTAAGTTTGACAGTACCTTTGAGAGAGGCATACTTTAGGGATCAAATCAGCTGCTATTTATTCAGCACACTGTGAGTCTTCTACGACAAGTTTCGACAAAAGAGTTGCGACTATAAGTTTTTTTATGATCAATTTCAAAGTAGAAACTCATATTTTGATTCAATATACCAAGCTTAATTTATGGCAGATCTTTGATTTAACCATCCTACAAATTATACAATAGGAAGCAACATAATATCTTCTAGATAACTTAAAATGATCGATTCGAAATCGTACAAGTTTGGTATTTGCCTATTAATACTACAATTATCAAGTCGTAGTAGTTTGAATTTACATGGATTGCAAAGTTATCTTGAAATTTCTTATTGACAAATATAATCAATTAAGTTTTTAACAGATAAATCAATTTCTTTGTTTACATCATTGTTTACATCGTTCGCTAACAATAAAATAAAACTAGTTAGTTTATCAAAATAAGTGAGTGGAACCAAAATAAAGTTAGGAACTATATTTAAAAAGGTAAGTAGCTAATCATGTTATAAAAAATATCTAAAAATAATTAGCACTTTTTGTCACAATATAAAAAAAAAACGAATTTTTTCCCCGTAAAATTATCCCGTAAACTTTTTTGCCGACGTGTTTAATTTTTTTGCCTCCAAATTTAATTTTTATTAAAGAAATAAAAAAAAAGTTCAACGTGACCCTAAAGGATATTGCTTGGAAATATTTGCAATATTTAAAATTTAGAAAAGTTTTAGTGTTATAAAACTTTAACAAACTGTAAGTTGTTTGAGTCAGGATAACATAAAAGATCTTTAAAACATTGATGTTTGAGGTAAAAACTAGACTAATTTTTTTTGAGAATAAAGAAATGCCACTACAACAGTTCAAGGATGCCAGTGGCATCTTTAAATTGTTGTAGTGGCATTTCTTTATGCTCAAGGCTGTTCCCAACATTTAGACAGCCCGAAGACAAGTGCAGTACACGCTTTATAAGATTTTTTGTATTCCTAATGTAAGAAAACTAATAATAAAATCTGTTAAAATATTTTTATTTATCTTATACCAAAAATAACCTAATTTCCTAAGCTCAAAATCACTGCAAGATTTTGAGCTTAGGAAATACGTGCTTGATCAAAACATTTGACAATAACAGAGTACTCAGTAAACATAAACTGATTTAATTTTTGGAGCTGACTTAATAAATCATTTTTGACTGAAAAGTCCTACTTGTCAATATATGCTATTTTGCTTAGGTAGCAGAATAAAAGAGATAACAGATTACCTATCAAAATAACAAGTATATCATGATAAACTTATTTTTTAGTTGCTTCAACATCTTCCATATTCATAAAATTACAGATTTATTGGATTCGATCCTTTTTTTTTTTTTTTTGGCTGTTTCAATATATTTACAATAAGTAAATATTAAAAGAATAATTTTTAGCAAGAGCAAGAAGCAGTCATAAACTTTTTTTTTCCGGCTAACGTCTTATTATCGAATCCCAATAACATTGTCATATTGTTATATTATCTTGTAGATATAAACATATAACAATAAGATATAAATAAGATATAAACAATAAGTTATAAACTTGAAATATATTGTTTATTGCCTATGACAATGAGCACTGAATTTTCATGACTCTACTCATGGTTTTTTGTTTGTGTCTCCTTAAAGATTCTACTTGTGAAGTGGAACTCTTTCTGCTATTTTCTAATGAGGATACAAATCTTAAACTCAGAACCATTAAGCTCAGTTTAATGGTTCTGAGTTTGTCTGATTATAAGATTTCCGTGGTAGCTTTCAGAAAAGCTGATTCTTGAACTGTCTATATAGTTCCATGTTGCGCACTGTTCATTCGCAACATGCAACTGTATTAACAGCATCATCTTACGCATGGGAATTGATTTTGTTAGTGCCCTGTTAGTGCTTTTAGTGTGCATTGTCAAGACTACATAAGGAGTTTTTTGTCACAAATTAGAGTTAATAAGTAGATATTGGTAGGGGATTATACACTAACTATGAGTTAGTCAAGTCTCTATTGATTCAATTTGTATTGATTAAACTCATGAACAGAGTAACTAAAAATACTAAAAAATAAATCCAAAAACTACCGCGAAATTGCTTTAATCTAACCATTAACAAAAACTTGTATCTCCTAGTTCTTCCATATTAGATTGAGTGAAAGCTTTTATTCCTTCTTAACGGTTTTAAGTAAAGCTTTGCCCCAACTCATGTTTTCTTTTTCATGTGTTAGAGTAGGGTGGGGCAAGATGCCCCCCTTAACAAACTTTATCGTATATAATAAATACTTTTACGTTTTCTTGTATTTTTTCTTTTTAATATTAAAGTTTACTTATAAGAGAACACATTGGTAAGATAATATAACTACTTTGTTACTGTTGATAATCTTTTTTTTTTTTTTTTTTAACATCTTCGCTTCCAACAAGGCTGCAAGCAACCACTAATTAGTGTTGTAAGTTACTGGAAGAGAAAAGATGAAGATTGTAGAGCAAGATAACGATTGACAGACGACTTAAAAGATTGCAAATTATATGAATCAGGAAAGCAAGATGAAGGAAGCAAATTCCAAAGAACTGATGTTCGAGGAAAAAAACTAGACGAATAAGAGTTTTTGGAGCACTTAGGAACAGTAACAGAAAAAGGATGAGACTTAATTGAATGACGAGTAACACGAGAATGAATTTTAGTAGATGGCACAAGAGACGCTAGCTCTTTAGAGCAGTACTCATTAAAGTATTTGTAGAAAAGAGAAA